CTGCCTTGAATTCCTGAAAACACTAGTGATTAGATACTCAAACTTCCCCTCCTTTACACACTTGCCAGCCTTGTCCAATAGATTGAACCAAGGAACAAAACTGAAACATGCTCAAGCAAAGCACTGTCAAGCCTGATGATCTTAGTGCAATCACTGGAGCCACATGGGACAGAAAGAACTGATTCCTAAAAGTTGTTCTGTGATCTTCACATGCATGTGTGTGCACATAGTCTTCCCTTACCCCCAAGTAGCTACGGATAGGATTGGTGGCACATGCCTTTAGTTCCAGCTACTTAGAAATTGAAGGAGGATAACGAATCCAGGAGTTGGATGCCAGCCTGGGTAAAATGATAAAATCTGGTCTCAAAGTAAATAAATAGTTATTAACACAGGGGGGAGAGTGGTCAAGCATGGTGATACATGTCTCCCAGTACTTGGAAGCCAGAGACATCTTTGGTTAGAGTAATCTGGAGGCCAACCTGGGATCCACAAAACATTGTCTCAAAAAAAAAAAAAAAAAAAATCAAGAAAACAAATGAAAAACAAGAAGAAAACCAGAATAAAAAATGTTTCCTAGCATCTGGTATCCCAGGGCACCTATATGCTCACAGAGAAACATACAAGTAGATATAAAACACTTCAGAAGACATGCAGATAAATGCCAGAAGTGATGGTGCACGCCTATAATCCCAGAACTTGGAAGGCTCAAGACCAGCCTGGGATAGATAGTAGGTACCAGAGAAAGAAAAAAGGACTAGATCAGATACTAAGCTCATAATACACTAAGGTCAACAGGAGTTGGATGCAATGAAGTATGCTTGTAATCCCTGCACTCCAGAGGCTGATGTAGAAGGATGGAGAATTCAAGGGCAGCCTAGAGCTACCTAAAGAAACTAAAACTCGGGGGGGGGGGGGGGAGCCTCTAGAAGCAACTGAAAGCCACTGGTTCCCGCACAGAAAGTGCAGCAGAGAAGCTGTACTAGAACAAGAAAGGAGGCTGTCACAGACACCAAAACATGACCACAGGTCCTGGGCTATGGCATCAGTGTTGAAGATGAAGACTTCTGGAAAGGATTAAGAGATATTTAATAAATCTAAAGCTGACACACTGACAGAAGCTGGGTGTGGTGGCACAATAAATATTTAAAAACTAAAGCTGATACAACATACTGACAGAAACTGGGTGTGAAGGTTCATGCCAGTAACACCCACTTAGATGATGAGGCACAAGATTAAGTCTGTAGTCAGCCTGAGCTATACAGTGAGTTCAAGGATAGCCTGTACTACACAACAAGATCCCACCTAAAAGCACAGGCATGGAGCTAGGAAGGTGATTCTTCAGTTAAGATGGAGAACTGCTCCCTGAGTTTGGTTCCCAACACCCATGTTGGGAGGTTCACAACAGCCTATAACTCCAGACTGTTTTGTGTGTGTGGTGGGGGAGGGGGTCCAACACCTCTGGCTTCTAAGGGCAATTCCACTCACATGCACATACCCACACTCCAGCACACACATACACACAGTTAAAAATAAGTCTTTTAATATTCTACAACTCTGCTGCCTCTTACAGTCTCTGCCCACATGTAGCTAATAAGCATTTGAAACACAGTAACAACAAGGAACTTAACCTTTAATTTTGTGTAATTTTAACTAATTTAAGTAAATGGCTGCTGTATTAGACAATACAGTTCTAGATTAGTCACCTAACTTAAAATATGAGACCAGATAGTAATCCTGTGTAACAATATACAACAGGGACACTCAGAATGGTAAGATAAATTCCCTAAGATAGGAAGGTGTTCAAGACATATTAAGAAATATATATTTCAGGATAATATGAACATCATATTTTTCAGTCCACAGCTGCAGTCCCAGAAATTGGAGACAGGAGAAGACAAGCTCAGAACCCTAGGCTTCAAAGAGAAACATTATCTCAAAAAGCCAAGGACTAGATTTTACTCAGTAATACAGCCCTTGTGTAGCACATGTGAATTTCTGGGGTTCTGTATCTAGTACTGTAAGAAACTAACTCCATGCAAAGAAAATAAATTGAGTGCTAGGGATACTGCTCACTGGTAGAATGCTTACCCAGCATACTTGAGGCCCTAGCTTCAATCCCAACAAAGCCAAAATAAACCACAATAAACCAAACTGTGGTCACCCTAAACATGACAGAGGATCTTCATATTTCCTTTCTTACAAAAGAGTCCTCATTTAAAAAAAAGAAAGAAAAGAGACAACAATTATCTTTCTATCTGAAAACACAAGAGCTAAAACAATTCCCTGGGGCAAAGGCTACAGCTTCAGTGGTGGAGTATGTGCCTGTTCTGGGTTCAATCCCCAGCACCAAAAGGAAAATCAAACACAAACCAAACTTAACTCATGGGATACCTTCAATGCTTTCACCATGCAGGTGCTTAATGGAATCACAGTACAGGAAAACAGCAGCAATACAGAGAAGAACAGATTACACTTCTCTGGAAGAAGTCATTCTGAGGACAATGATGACCTTCCCAAAACATTCTACAAGATTTTTATGTTAGGTCTCAAAACCATGACAAATGGCTGAGATATCTATTTAATATATCAAAGTGGACCTGGCTGCCAGGTTCTCCCTGCATCCCTCAATACCTACCGGTTACAGAGTATGGTTGACACACTCTGGCCCCCACCTTAAACTTCTCTACCCCAGGAGCTGGGTTGCACTTCCCTATATAATCCAACCATTTTGGTTACTTGGTCTCTTTTGTCTACCTTCTTGGCCTTGTGGTCAGGCTACCTCCACCCCACCCCTGTCATGGCCCAACTCAGGGTCATGTCCACTCCGAACTGTCCCCTCCCCATGATCCTGCCCATCCCTTTTATCTACAATAAACTCTCTCTCCTCCACCATACCTAGGACCAGTCATGCCCTTTATTCTTGTTTTCATTCGTTATATAAAATACTATAGTATTTATAATCAAATTATTTTTTTCTGTACTATGAAAAGATATATGTGAACCTTAGGATGAAAATTATAAGGAACAAAACATGCAAAATCATATTCAATCATATTCAATTATATTTAAAAACCACTTTATTCCTACAGCAAGTCCAGGGTATTTCGGTATTTTTCACAAATGGTTATTCTGGCTATGCAAGGTGGCACATGCCTGTGATCCCAGCAATCCATAGGCTGAGGCTGGAGGACTTCCATGAGCCCAAGGCCAGCCTGGCTTAAAGATCCTGTCTCAAAGAAATGAGGAAAGAATTCTAATATTAGTCCTGGGAACTTAACCCTTTAAAGTTCTAAATCTTTAACAGTGGAAAGATTTTTTTCCTAAAATGTACCTATGCATTTGCACCTTCAGCCAGTATGGAATTGAATCTTCACATGACATTATTATTCCCAATACCAATTATTGGGTCCAGTATTCTGAGCTTCAATTACTAGCATTTAGTGAAGGAACATAGTCTTTCCATCCACCCCATGCCACCCCACCCTACCTCCTTGTACCTCCTAGAGACAGGATTTCAGATATAGGCTAGTCTGAAACTAGCAATTATACCTCAGTCTTCCAGGTGATAGAATCCCAGGTAAGCTGCCTATTCCCTTTGAAAACCACCCTAGAGTACTACACATGAATCTGCTTCTGTCCACCTGCACTGTACCCAGACCAGTCAGCATGTCAGGCATGCATTCTACTACTGAGCTGATTCCTGAGCCTGTGTTTTATTCTTTTGTGGACATGCACTCCATTCCCCCCCCCCCTTCTTCATTACATTGTGTGTGCACTGGGTCTTCAGTACTTCTATCTGCTGGCTTTGGTTTCACCCTGGGAAACAACTTAATTAGAATTCTAGACAAAATGAATAGTTGCTGTGGGAGCATTAAGGCCCTACTACAGGAAACATTCCATGGAGAGTGGTTGCTCATGCCTGTGACCCCCAGCACTTAAGAGCTGGGCTATACAATGAGTCCCGGGCCAGCCTGTATCAATCTAAAAAAACAAAAGAATATATTTCATGACATCAATTACGGGCTGCTGAGGACTCTAGCTTCTTACTATCTCTTCCCGTGTGTGTGTGTGTGTGTGTGTGTGTGTGTGTGTGTGTGTGTGTGTGTGTGTGTTAGGGAGGGGGCTGAACCAGGGCCTTGCACATGCTAACATGGACTCTCCAATGAAATACCCTTCTGTCCCCTCACTGTGTTTTAATCGAGCTGAGGGAATTTCACAACCCTTGAATTCCATGCAAGTCAGATGCGAAGGATCTATCGGCGGTTTCTAGTAAGGTCCAACTCCGTCGTCACTAAGCACAACGAAAGCAGGCATGACAGTGGGAATCGGAAGGTCTAGTTAACCAAAAACAAGGAACGACAATGACAATGACAACTAAATTTTACTCAGCTTCCCTACTGCACTCTAGGCTCCTGCTTTATAGGAACTCATGTAAACAGCTGAGTATTTCTCACTAGCCCCGGCATGGGAGCAGGTAACGAAGCAGACGGCTTCTGAAGTCAATAGAGGAGAAAAATGAGGCATTGCCACCCATCTCAAGGGGGTCCAGAGTGAACTTCTGTGCGATGGATCGAGCACCCCCACCCCACCCACACACCGGAAGTTTTGAAATATCCTGCAGGCTCCCACAGACACAGTGGCTTCCCTCAGCCGCCGCTCCCAGGGCCCTCGGTGGGCAAGGGGAGCTCCCGGTGTCTGCAGCACCCGGGCTAGGTAGGCCACCAGCCTGCCAGGAGCCAGGCCGTCAATCACAGCCAGCACTCGCAGCTGCGTCCCCGCCGCCTGCCGCCCGCGCGCAGGGGCCGGGCAGCGGGCAGGTGGCGGCACCTGCGGCCGCGACCCGAAAGGGGCTGTTCCGGCTCGGCTGCCAGGCCCGGGGGCCACGCGAGCCCTCGGCGGTGATCTCTCGGGCCGTCGTCCCGAGTGCGGCCGCGCGACAGCCAGGCCCGGCCACGCGAACTGCGCTCTCCTCCTGGCCCTGCTCGCCGCGCGCCACTCACCGAAGAAGCCTTGCACGATCCCGAGCGGGTGGCTCAGCCAGTCCTCTCCACAGGGCATGGCGCTGAAAGCCGGGGCCAGCGCGGCCCGTGCGGCGCTCCTCCGTGGGCCGGGCGCCCGGACGCCCGCTGCTCGTCAGGGGCTCGTCCGCGCCCTCCCACGCGCGAGGCGTCCCGAGCCGCGGGCCGCCAGGGGAGGCTGCGGCGGTGATGAGCGCCTCGGAGCTGCTGGCCAGCGGCAGGGGCGGCCTGACCGTCCCAACCTCCACTTATCACAATGGCGGGAAATCGCAGCCACCGATCGCGCTGCCAGCGATCTGGGTGGAGCTCGAAGAGGGAGGGGCGACGGGAGCGTGCTGCGCAGTCCCGGAGGGGAGGGGTGGGCGGGGCGAGCGGCCATTTTGGAGACGGGTAGAGACGGGGCGGTCGCGCGACCGCCATCTTGGAGATGGGCAGAGGAAAGAGGCTCACTCAGAGGAAAGTGTGCAGTTGTCACTGTGTGAGCGCGTTGATGGGAAACTCCAAAAGGGTGCCTCATTGACTCAAAGTTTGCGTCCTTGCGCAAGGACCAAAAGGCACAAACTCGCTTAGGTCTCAGAGTCAGCTCTGACCAAAATTAAGGGGTGAAACACTATTTGGTGCCCCCCCCAACCTTTTTTTTTTTTTTCTTCTGTTTCTGGTGCTAGAACTTTTCTATGGTGCCCTTCCCAAAATCCCATGTAAGAACTTGGCTCCAGCTTAGTGAGTTCTTCCTGAACGATTTAATTATCAAAGAGGCTTTGCAGCCTTTGTGGGCATCTCAGTTCCTCATGGAGAATCAAGCGCTCAGAACTTTCTTCTGGTCCAGCCTTTAGTTTCTTACCTGGAAAACACTCAGGTGTGTTTCTGCCTCCAACCTGGCTACTAGGGAGCTAGCTGTGGCAAGATACCCACTCACCATAGAGCTCAGGATAGATACTCTTAGAGGACAGATCCAGAAGGGCAACTCCACAGTTCAGCCTAGGGAATGTAGGAATCGTCCAAGTTTCGTAAAGAGGCCATTTACCCACTGTATAGGATGTACCAGAAAACCCTGGTTTCATCATCTATACCTACTTGGCAAAAAAAAAAAAAAAAAAGGTAATAAGAATGGACTCTAGAAAGTAGATAGCCGAAGAATAGCTCAGTGGTAGTGCACTTGCCTGGCATGCAAGAGACCCTGGGTTTAATCGCTAGCAAGGAGTAAAAGAGGGACAGATGGTAACAGATCAATAGAGATGGTAGACTGAGCCCAGAGACTTCCGTAGGGCAGTAGGGGAAAGGAACAAAACCTGCCCCTCTGCCTTTCTTGGTCCACTGCTCTTAACAGCACACCTGTTGATGAGGGAAAGCTGTCAGGCATTGTCTTTAAATCCCAGCACTTGGGAGATATAGGTAAGGAAGATCAGGAGTTCACAGCCAGCCAGCCTTCGTTATACACCCAGTTTGAGGCCAGCCTGAGCTACATATGGCCCTGTCTCAAAAAAAAAAAAAAAAAGTCTGTGAACATGTGTGCCACAAGTTTATGAACAACCAGGGACAAATAACTTAAAGTGGCTTATAGTTTGGGATTATGTAGCAGTGATCCACAGAGAACAATACATTTGTAGAGTAATGACAGAAGTCTTCAGTTTCCAAAGACAAGTTACAAGAAATCAAAATATGAAAGACCTGTGGTAGACATAGTTTAGAAGTGTGTAAAATCTTTCCGCTTCTGGGTTGATAAAGACCTAAAATGCTTCCAGGAAATTAGCTCCTGCATTATCTGGCAGGAAAAGGGAGGAAGAGCACCTTGAAAACCTATACCCTGCTTCTATGTGTGTCTGCTCAGTTGCCTTCAACTAAAGATAGACTTTATGCCATTGGAGCGACTGACTTCCTAGTTTGCTACAGGTTGGAAGAGGTAATTCGGACTTGGCATCTCAATATGATTTTACATCTGGCATTTGTGAGTTGAGAAAACTAACAAGGCAAGGACAATGTTCTTTGAATGAGAATGTCCCCATCGGCTCATATGTTTAAATACTTGGTCTCCAGTTGGTGGAACTATTTAGGAATCATTAAGAGGTGTGGTCTTGTTGGAGATGTGTCATGGGGGGGGGCAGACTTTGAAGTGTTGTGGAATATTATTTTATGTAAAGGTGTGTTACTTTTCCCACCTAAGGCACCTGATTGGTCTAATAAAAGGCATCTGAATGGCCAATAGCTAGGCTGAGGAGGGGTAGTCGTGGCTGGTGTTGTTCTTTTGTTACAGTTATAGGAATAAAAGCTGGAGGGGGGGTCCCACGTGGGAGTCCCAAGGTAAGGGACCACGAGGGAGAGCATAACAGGTTCCATAGCAGGTGAGGGTGACCGAGGCGGAGGGAATAATATGCCAGGCAGATAGAGCTTAAATGAGGAGTTTAAAGAGACGTAGAGGCACCCAGAACAGAAGAGGAGAGAGGAGAGAGAGAGAAGTGAGGAGAAGAGAAAGAGAGCGAAAGAGCGTAAGTGGGCCAGGGTCTCTGGCTTTTAAAGGGGTCCTTTACTCCTGCCTGCAGACTGGTATTCATGTACTGCCTGAGTGCGTTCTGCCCGGTGACAGGGGCAGGCCAGCGTAATGCCTGAATCCTTACAGCTGGCAGGCAGGGAGAATAAGTAGGAGGAGGAATCCAGGCTAGAGAGAGAGAAGAGAGGAGAGAATGAGGAAGAAAGAGAGTGAGACTCCTAGGGGCAGCCAGCTAGGCAGCCGCCAGCTCAGCCAGACATGGAATAGGACATACAGAATGAAAGAAAGGTAAAAAGACCTAAGGCAAAGCATAGATGAAGATAAACAGGTCAATTTAAGTTAGTGGAACAAGCATAAGACCAGTGTTAGTATTAAGGCATCTGTACTGGCCTTCCCTTGATGATCTGGTTCTGACAGGATATGTCTTCAGCTACAGTCACTAAGAACACCTCCTGTGCACATTCACTACATTCCCTTTTAAAAAGGGCCCTGTCCACCTCCCGTGTCCCTCTCTTTCCCTCTCCCCCCTTTCTGTTCCTTTCTTTCTCTCTGCCAGTCTGTCTGTCTCTCCCCATCTCTCTGCCTCTCTTTTCTGATGCTCCTGTCCCCAGAAGCTGGTCTCCACCCTTCCCTCTCCCCCTTACCCCATTCCCTTTTCCTTAATAAAAAACCAAAACAAAACAAAACACTCCACTCGAGTGCTGTAGCATGGTACTTTTTAAATTACAACAGTCAAGCATTCATAACTAATATTAAGTGTCCATGTCTGCTACCTTTGGAGCTTCAGAAACTTCCCACCATTTCCCAGTGTGTTCTCTCTGTCTTCTGCTTTTCAGATTAGGATATGCGATCTCAGCTGTTCCTGTCACCATGACTTTGCCCAGGGACTCCCTGGACTCTCACCATCATGGACTCTGACCCTCTGAAACCTAATTAAAAATCTTTATTTCAAAAGTTGTCTTGGTCATGGTGTTTTATAACAATAGAAACGTAACTAAGACATAAATATCACCACTTCGTTCATCCATTAATTCATTCAATAGGGATAGTAGTCATGTTCTTGAAATTGAATGAGGGGAATGTCATATTTTAGCTTTTTTCCTCATCATATACAAAAATTAAAGCATGTGCTAAGATATCTGGCTTTAGAAGTTTTATTGATTGATTGATTTTTATTGTTGTAGCCTGGGTTTCTTTGCAACTCACTATGTAGTCCAGGCTGAGCTACATCTCCGGTCCTCATCAACAGACACTTTGGAGGTGGGGGGCGGGCAGGAGGGAGATTTTTTTCAAGACAAGGTTTCTCTGTAGCCTTGTGTGTCCGGAACTCAGAGATCTGCTTGCCTGTGCCTCCTGAGTACTGGGATTAAAGGCATGTGCCACCACCGACTGTTTTCCACAATAATGGACTCTTAATCTGACGGTGTTATTGGGAGGACTGGTGTCCATGAAGAGGAACTGATTAGAATAAGGCTACAGAGGAGCATGACTCTGAAGGGTATATCTTGTTCTGGGCCCTTTTCTCTCCTTAATTATCACTCAGTTTTCTTCTTGCTGTGGTCCAAAATTTTAAAAAATATCATATGTTGAAGTTAATTACTCATAGTTTTGGAATTTGGGTGTTTCTGAGGTGACCACATATAAGTCAAGCTGCCAGGAAAGCTGTCCCTGCACTTATAAAGAAGAAAGCTTTTTGTTGTTGCTGTTGCTTTTGTTTTTTGAGGCAGGGTTTCTCTGTATTGCTTTGGAGCCTGTCCTGGCACTCACTCTGTAGACCAGCCTGGCCTCGAACTCATAGAGATCCTCCTGCCTCTGCCTCCTCAGTGCTGGGACTAAAGGTGTGTGTCACCACTGCCTGGCCTCAGGAAAGCTTTTTATCACTTCAGGCTGAGTAGGTTCTTTGCTATTGGTCTGATGGAGAGAGATACATGTTCTCTCTTCATGGAATGTTTGTCAGTGTTCCAGGAAACAAACTTAAGGAAAGTCTGCAGGTTATTGTTACTATGTGTTTAGTTGATTGTTTTGCCAAGCTGTAAACTGACCCCCCCCCCAAAGGGATGATCTCAGGTCTGTTTCACACATCACTCTGCTGTACAGTTCTCTGCCTTGTTACTAAAGCAATACTAACTTCTAACCTAGCATGACTTCTGGCAGTTTGAGGTCATATTATCTATGATTCACTTATACGCATCTCCAACACTATTCTCCCTCCTTCCAGTCCCCATTAAAATGCTTGTCTGAAGAAGCTCAACACTGCCAGAATTTGCTGTTTTTCTTCCAGCCAAAACCTGCAAATAGGCAGATAGATACACGACCCCAGATTAGAGCAGTTACTCTAGAACGTTTGCAATTATAAACCTTTTCTCTGCCCCTTTGAAAGGTAAATCGTCTACCATTTGGAACTGCCTTACCAAAGATACCTTTTTGTTTTTTCAGAGACCTTTGAAAGGTAAATCGTCTACCATTTGGAACTGCCTTACCAAAGATACCTTTTTGTTTTTTCAGAGTTTCTCTGTTTAGTTCTGGCCATCCTTAGAACTCACTCTGTAGATAGTAATTATTATTTTTTTGTTGTTGTTGTTTGTTTTTTGAGATAGGGTTTCTCTGTATTGCTTTGGAGCCTGCCCTGGAACTAGCTCTGTAGCCCAGGCTGGCCTCGAACTCACAGAGATCTGCCTGCCTCTGCCTCCCCAGTGCTGGAATCAAATGCGTGCGCCACCACCGCTCGGCGGAGATAGCAATTCTTACTCCCATTTTCTACTACTGCCTGTCATAAAGATATGATAATTGCTGCGTGTGGTATTATTAATCTCAGGACTGGAAGAGCTGATTCAGGAGAATGAAGGACAGTCTGGGCTACATAGCGAGATCCTGCCTCTCAAGCAAGCAAATAAACAGAAAAATAAAAATAAAAACAACAAAACCCCAGATAGCCCATGAGAAACTCAGACAGTCAGGCGCAATCGAGATACTGCGACTTTCAGTAATAAAAATAAAAACAACAAAACCCCAGATAGCCCATGAGAAACCCAGACAGTCAGGCGCAATCGAGATACTGCGACTTTCAGTATGCTTTAGAGCTTGGATTCGGAACCAGAGCGGCCACGCCCCTCTACGCCAAGGTTCCTGTTTCTGGCGTAGTCTCCAGAGGTCGAGAGTATCACGTGACACGCTTGGGGCTGAAGCCGATTCTGCCTTATTGCTTTTGGGCGACGTCAGCTTCCGAAGGAAAATTGGTTCCTGAGTAGCTTCCCGGCCTGTGGTCCCGTGCGCAAGTGCGGAAGTGCGGTGGCACCCTGGTTGATCGGTTTCCGGTCTGTGGTGCAGCACCGGGCTCACAGAGCCACGTAACGGCTGGGGGTCTGCAGCCATGGCTGATAGGAAGACTAACAGTGGCGGGGCGTCCTCCTCCTCGACGGGCACTAACTTACTCTTCTCCTCGGCCACGGAGTTCAGCTTCAACGTGCCCTTCATCCCCGTCACGCAGGCCGCCGCCTCTCCGGCTTCCCTGCTCTTGCCCGGAGGTAGTGAGCAGAGGGCGCTTGGGGGAATCAGTGTGTGCTCGGAGGAGGGTGGGACCGGAGCGTCGCCTTCTCTGGGCCGCTTTCCAGGGCCAGCAGTGGCCAGCTTCCAGAGGGCCAGGGACTGTGCGATCCTGGAGGAGGGGCCCAGGTGATGAACCCCTGTCATTGCACAAGTTTTTGTTGAACACCCACTGGTGTGCTGGGTGCTGGCAGGGAATGCAGCTAGATTTGACAATTACCCTCTGCTAGAATACTGCAAGCTATTCTCTTACTGGGACACCCCCGTGATAGGGCAGGCCATCACCTAGGAGATAGTAAGCTGTCTTCACAGGGGACGCTGCTCTTCCTGTAGAGTCCTATAAACTCTCCTGCAAGACGACTCCGGGTTTCAGGAGGATACCTCCTAGGGTAGACAGCGCTTCCTACTAGGATCGATATGTAATATCCGGAATACAGAATGCATTTCTCATTTTACAAGGTATCGCTTCCTCCGAGTTTTGCCTTATCTCTTAGGCTCCCACACCTGCTTTCACTTTGGGTAGGCTCTGTGTATTGTCTGGGAAGATTTGATTTCTGGACAAAACTATAGTAGTGAGGAGCACAGACTGTGTTCCAGTCCTGGCCCTGCCACTAATTTGCTGTGTGGCCTCAGGCATGACATTTTACCGTCTTCTTAAATTTCATGTTTTTAGCACCTTCCCCCAACCTTTGAGACAGGGTTTCAACGTTGTGGAACTCACTATGTAGAGGAGGTTGGCCTCAAACTCACAAACTCACAGAGATCCCATTGCCTCTGCCTCAGTGCTAGGATCAAAGGCGAGGGCCACCATGACCGGTCTCTCTCTCTCTCTCTCTCTCTCTCTCTCTCTCTCTCTCTCTCTCTCTCTCTCCCCTCTCCCCTGTAGAGCTCTGTAGTGCTCTGCACATAGTGTTGTGTAAATATTTGTGAGCTAAGAACCTCCGCCTCTCCATTTGAACTGTGAACTTCTTACCTATTGTATTTGTAAGCTCTTGTTTATAGACATGTCCAGCACATAGTTCCTTGTCAAATACTGACCCTTTTCCACTAAATAATTCCTACTTGGAAGACTAAGGAAGGGAAGTTTCTTGGAGAAGGGAAGACAAACTGAAGTACCTGCATATGAAGGTTCTCCTTTCTGTCCTGATTCTTGGTGCTTGTAACTGTCTGACATGTACTTACACCTGTTTATTCTACCAGGTGAGAGTGTTAAGCTTCATCAAAGCGAGGACTTAGTTTAGTCACTACTATAGCCCACTGCCCAGAGTGCAGAACTCATGATATCCAGTGGCCATTTGTTGAGTTCGGGGATTGGGGTGTGGGGGTGAGTACCAAGAGTGTATCTGTCTCATTTAAGCCGTGTTGCTGAAAGGTTAAGTTTTGCTTTCTTTGCTAAAGGATTGTTGTGGCTGGCGCAGATCGCTATGGAAGGATCCAGGAATAAATAAGGCCGTGCCTTGGAATTTTCAGATCACTCTCTGTGTCTTGAGTGGTGTTTTGATTCATGCCCATCTTCCTTGCTGTATAATAATGGATTTGTGTGTGTTATTGTCAGTGCTTGAAATTTCTATTTTCTTTTTTTTTAATTATTTTTTTTAATTGTGTGTGTTAGTGTTTTGCCTGTGTCTGTGTCTATTCGAGGGTGTCGGACCCCCTGGAACTGGAGTTACAGACAGTTGTGAGCTGCCATGTGGGTGCTGGGAATTGAACCTGGGTCCCACCTTTAGATTTACACATTTATTGATTGATTTTTGAGACATGGTTTCATTTTGTAGCCCAGAGTAGCTTGTGGCAGTCCGCTGGTTCAGTTTCCCAGGTGCTGTGACTGCTGGTGTGAAACAATTCCTAGCTTTACACTTTCTTTAAAATTCTTGATGGCTTACTTAGTTTTATTATTTTTAAAAATGTGTACTTGTGTGTGTGTCCTGTGTGTGTGCACATGAGTACAGTTGTCCTAAGAGGCCTCTGTAAGAGCAGCACACACTCATAATCACTGAGCCATCTCTTCAGCCCCTTCTTGAAAATTGTTGCTTCTTAGATGCAAGCTTATTTTTCTGTGAGAATACATAAATAGCTTTTAAAACTGCCATTCCATAACAAGTATTTTCTTTTTTGTTTCTGAGACAGAATCTCTTTGTTATGTGGCTGTGACTGTCCTGGATCTCCCTATGCAAACCAGGCTGATCTTGAACTCACAGAGAACCACCTTCAGCTCCCTCCTGAGAACATAACAAGTATTTTCTACACTTAAAAGATTTCATGATTAGAGATCTCTTCAGAGCTTTTCTAGAGACAAAGGAGATTCCATCTCCTTGGAAGCAACAGTGAATCCCTTCAGTGGAAGAGACACAGGAAACAGTTTTATACATTCAGCAGATAGGAACTGAGCAGTCTCTCTCTGTCAGACCCTGTTGCAGAGGTCAGGCTAGCACAGAACAGTGTGTCCACACTGATACCTGCTTACAGAAGCTGTTGTGGTACAGCTACACCACCAAAGCAGCTGGAGGTGGGGTGGACTTGACCCCTGTGAGTCTTGGCTGGTGGAGTGGAGGGATGATGTCCCTTAAGGTCTCATAGTCTCACAGGAAGTGATATGAGCAGAGTTTGAAGGATCCGAAGAAATGAAAGAGTCTGGACATCTGAGAACAAGCTACAGGCTTGGCGGGAGTTGGTGGGGGATGATATGGGGCAGTCTGGACCTCATTCCTCCCGTTTCCAGTCCTTCCACTCCTTCATGTAGATCACTGACTAGCGTGTGTGCAGGGGCGTGGTCTAGTGGCCTGTGGGGCTCATACTGTGCTAAAAGGTTTGTGCTTCATTGAGCTCTGCGGGCAGCCTTTGAAGAGTTTTGTTGAGGGTCTCTGTAGCTCTGAGTGGCCCACAACCAAGTTGAACTCAGTGTCACTGAGATCCTCCTACCTCTTACCTCCTGAATGCTGGGATTAAAAGAGTACCAACATACCTGATTTCCTTTGAAGGATTTTTTTTAACAAGACAATGAAATTAGGTGTGTTTTAGAAAGGCTTGGGTTTTCTTTCTTTCTTTCTCCCTTCCTTCCTTCCTTCCTTCCTTCCTTCCTTCCTTTCTCTTTTGTTTTTTTGAGATAGAGTTTCTCTTTATTGCTTTGGAACCTGTCTTGGAACTTGCTCTGTAGGCCAGGCTGGCCTCAAACTCACTGAGATTTGACTGCCTCTGCCTCCCAAGGGCTGGGATTAAAGGCGTGCACCACCACCACCTGACAAGGCTGTGTTCTCTAAGAGTGCACTGGAATAGGATTGACTATCACAAATGTGGTCATTTAGTTACCCCCTTTATGTCAGGCAGGAGTAGATGTTACTCTAGCCCAAGTGAGCCACATTGGATATCAAGGGTAGGGGACAGATGGGAGACTTCCATTTTTAATTTTTGTTTTGTAATGCTGAGGAGCAGACACAGAGCCTTGTCCACTTCAGGCAAGCAGTCTGCTGTTGAGGGACATTCCATGGCAGAGGTGTTTATCAGAGGCCTCTTGACTCTTGAGGCCAGGCAGTCAGTTCTGTGTCAGTGTCAAGGTCCATTCTCCTTCATTAGAGCTCTGAGTCCAAGCTCTGCAGCTAGTGTGTAGTAGGTATTGCATTCCTGGTTCTTTAGTGAATATCCGAAGGACTACATAAAAGTCTGAGAGATGTGAGGTTTCACATTGAAATCTGGATAGTTGTTGGTGAACTTCTGTTTGAAATGGGAATGGTTAAGATAACAAATTCATTGCGAGGCTTACTAAGTTTGACACATGTGACTGGGTCTACCAGAAGTGTTGGAAAGTTGTGGAATACAGGAGGACAGTCTGAATTTGACATGAGACGGGAGAGTCACAAGCTGTGGGTCTAGATCCACTTGTGTCTGTATAGAATTAGAAAGTGCTCCTGGGATGAAGCTAGAGGTATGTTGAATCTTTTTCTTCTTCCTCTTTTTATTTTTTTTTAGATTGGCTTCATATCTTAGGGTTTCTATTGCTGTGAAGAGACACCATGACCACAGCAACTCTTAAAAAGAAAACATTTAATTGGAGTCGTTCACTTACAGTTTCAGATGTTCAGTCCATTAACATCATGGTGAGAAGCATGGCAGCATGTAGGCTGATGGTGCTGGAGCTAAGAGTGCTACATACTGCAGGCAACAGGAAGTCAGCTGAGATTTTGGGTGGCGTCCTGAGCATAGGAAACCTCAAAGCTCAGTGAGACACTTCCTTCATTAGGCCATACCCTCTTCAACAAAGCCATATCGTGATAGTGGCACTCTTATGAGATTATCGGGGCCAGTTACACACAAACTGCCACATTACATGATGGCCAATATGATTTGGAACTTTTAGGTCCAAGTGTTCTGTCTGCCTCAGTCTCTGAGAAGCTGGGACTGTAGGAATGTCTTTGAATAGTGTGGTCCATCATGGGCGATAGGGGCAGCCATAGACTCTGTCCTCTGGCTAGAACTACGTTTGGGGGCATTGTGACCAAACCTGTGGAGTGGAGGCTCTTCACTATTGCTGTGTGAAGTCGAATTGGAAAAACCTGGAAGCTGAATGCAGAATCACCATGAGGTCACAGAGAGCCCAGAGCCTTGGCAGTTCTCCAAGGGCAGGGACCATAATGTGCCTGTGTGCTGGGAATGGCTCCACACATCTGATGGACTGTAGCCCTCCAGCCGCTGCAGATAAAGGTGACCAAAACAAGGGACAGAAAGATTAGGAGAAGAAAGTTGAAAGCTGTTCATAAAAGTAGAGTGGGGTGAAGGTCTTGAGGTTAGTTAGTGGGAAAATTATGCCTTGTGAATTACTTGATAACAAAATGAAACAAAAAGATTTCTTGTGAATTACTTGTTTTCTCTTTTTTCAAGACAGTTTCTCTGTGTAGCCCTGGCTGTCCTGGAACTCACTCTGTAGACCAGGCTGGTCTAAAACTCACAGAGATATGCCTCCTGGGTGCTAGGATTCAAGGTGTGAGATCTACACCTGGTGTGAATTACTTGATAGCAGAATAAAAAATATAGTGAAGATGAAGTTGTCCAGAGAGAAGTCAGGAGACCTTCTCTGAGAAAACTGACTTTCTAGAGACTTACTGCTTTGTTATTTATTGTGTGTTATATGTGGAGGATCTAAGAGTAATTTGTGGGAGTTGGTTCTCTCCGTCTATCCTGTTGGTTCTGGGGCAGCCAGATTTACCTGCTGAACCATTGTTTCAGCCTGTGACTTGGTGTTCTTTAATGTCTGAACATCTAGTTATGACCACTGCTTACAATTTAGGGGTTGCACTTAATGGGTAACCTACCTTGCCTTGGGAACACAAAGAGTACATGCTTGATGGCAGAGTTTTTCATTGGGACCACGGGCTCCCAAATAACTACATGGAGGCTCCTTGTTAATTATGAAAGTTTAGCTAATAGCTTAGGGTTGTTTCTAGCTAGCTCCTATAACTTAAGTTAACCCTGGAACTCACTCCTGTAGACCAGGCTGGCCTTGGACTCACAGGTCCACCTGCTTCAGCCTCCCAAGTGCTGGGACTAAAGGTGTGCACCACCACCACCTGGCCATCTTTTTTTTATTAAATCAATCATAGTGACATATATTTCTGTACTTCCCCCTTTTGTCTAAATAAAAAAAGAAAGGTTTTCACTCTAACAATATAACTGTAGACAATAAGAACAATTATCAGGTAAGAATTGCATTTACAATGTTCAGTCCATTTGTATTTGGCATTATTTATCTTTGTGAGTCTAAAGTTTTATATCTAATTTACCTTTATTATTTAGTTTTTAATTGCATCAAAAACCCCAGGAGGGTGTAATGTTACCTAATGACAGAGAATCTGACTGACTGGACAGTCACCCAAAGTTCTTCTGTAACACTGGGGCACCCAGCTTTGGCCTAGTATATCTGACAGACATTTTAGTGAAGCAGGGAATCTTTGAGGACTGTTCTACCTTTTCTTGGCAAAGTTTGGCAGTTGCTTTCTTTTGCATCCTGCTGGTCCAGTTTAGATAGTATGCTGTCAGCAATTGAGGCAAGAGCAGTTTCTTTGCTCAGATGGCTAGCTTTTACCATGAAGAAAGCAAACTCTATACGGAGTTTCTTCAATGCTGTCATCCTCTTTTGAAGCAAATTGGTGGTGTTAGGAGGAGACGTGACTCACTGTCATGGAAAGCCTTAGGTTATTAAACACCTTAGATGCCATAGTCTGTAGATCTTTGAAGTGTTTGAAGACTGTCTATCTAAAGATACCTTATCTGACTACAAGTTTGATTATTATGGATGATTATTAACCTATATTTCTTAATTATACATTAGATTTCTTTCTTTCTTTTTCTTTTTTCTTTTAAAGACAGGTTTCTCTGTAGCTTTAGAGCCTGTCCTGGAACTCACTCTGTAGTCCAGGCTGGCCTCGAACTCACAGAGCTCCTCCTGTCTCTAACTTCTGAGAGCTAGGATTAAAGGTGTGTGCTGCCACTGCCCCACTTATACATTACATTTTAAAAAAATATTTATTTATTATGTACACAGTATTTTGTCTGCATATATGCCTGCATGCTAGAACAGGGTACTAGATTTCATTACAGATGGTTGTGAGCCACCATGTGGTTGCTGGGAATTGAACTCAGGATCTCTGGAAAAGCAGTTAATGCTCTTAACCTCTGAGCCATTTCTCCAGCCTTATACATTACATTTTTAAGTGAGCTGCATAAACACAATACCCCAAACAAGAGTAGAAATACACATATAGTATAATAAAATTAACTTTAAATTTGTATCAATAAATGAAAATCCATATCAGTATAAAATACTTTGAGATTAATAGTTGCTTTTTGGATTAAAGTAGATTCAATAGTCTACCCTTTTTCTTGTCATCCTGTATTAGATCCCCCTTTTTTTCCTTTAGAAAGAGATCTTTGAATTGAACTCCTTTGTTTAGCTTTTCTTCTATGATCAGTAACAACTTGTAACCAGCTCCCCTTAAAAATTATAACCTGTTTATTTCTGTCTGGATCTCTCTTTACTGAGCATCTGTACTGTTTTTGGATTGCATGAGAGGAATCTTAAACTGCTGTGTCAGCCGCAGGCACTGCTCCACTTAGTGAATGGTGCATGGCACTTGGTGACTGACATACCTCTACTTGTCAAGTACTGCCAGTGCTTCAGTTTGTCCTTATAATTGTAGAAATAAAATTAGATATGTTTGGGTGTATGGTAACATTTGAATTATATCAGGAAAAAAGATTTAACATATAAAAATAGGTACAAAAATAGGTTTCTTTAAAAAAGAAATCCTTTATGTAAACATGAACAGTTTTGTTTTGTTTTGGTTTGGTTTTTGCAGACAGGGTTTCTCTGTGAAGCCCTGGCTGTCCTGGAACTCTGTAGACTAGGCTGGCCTTGAACTAACAGATCCACCTACCTCTGCCTTCTGAGAGCTGGAATTACAGGCGTTCAACACCACACCTGGCTGTAAACATGAATGTTTAAAACAAAATAATTACATTTATATAGAAAATTAAAAGGGCACATTCCAAAATGTTTCTCTTTTTTTTCTCCTTTTCTTTTTTTGAGACAAGGTTCTTGGTGTAGCCCTGGCTGTCCTGGAACTCACTCTGTAGACCAGGCTGGTCTCAAACTCCCTATCTCTGCCTCCTGAGTGCTGGAATTAACGTCATGGGCCATCATGCCTGGCTTTCCAAAAGTTAATGTTAACAGTGACTGTCTCTGGTAGAGTAATTCATAACTTTTCTGTACTTTTTTTTAGCTTTTTCAAATAAAAGTTTTTCTCTTCAAAATTTTAAAAGTTTTTTTTGTTTGTTTGTTTTAATGATTTACTTATTTATTATATATACAGTATTCTCCCAACATGTATGCCTTTGTGGCAGAAGAGGATACCAGATAACCATTATAGATACTTGTGAGCCACTATGTGGTTACTGGGAATTGAACTCAGGACCTCTGGGAGAGCAGCCAGTGCTCTTAACCTCTGAGCCATCTCTCCAGCCCTTAGAGGTTTTTTTTTTTAACTTTTTATTTTTTGTACTTTTCACATGCATCTTGATCTCATTCATCTCCTTGTTCCTTTGTGTCTGACCTTTGCCCTTGCATACTCCCTGCCAAAATAAAATGAAAAAAAAAAAAAAAAAAAAAAAAAACCGCGAAAGTCTTGCGGTGGAAACTGTATGTAGCATGACACAGTGAGGCACACGGTATATCCTTTTGTCCATACGTTTTTACTTGTGAGTGTTCATTGCAAAGAGTCATTGGTTTGGTTTGAGGCCTCTGGTTAAGAGAAAAGATTTTAAGGGAAGGATTTTCCTTTTTCCTTATAGTACAGAAAATACAAATTAGAATAGCAAAGTAACAGGTCTAGCTGCTTGGTCCTTGTTACCGAGCCTCCTACAGAGGTGGTGCTGCTTTTAAGCCATTCTCCTTTGCTCTCCTGTTGTATTGCAGAGGACTCCACAGATGTTGGTGAGGAGGATAGTTTCCTTGGCCAGACTTCTGCTCACACCTCCACCCCACAGACATTCAGTTACTTCTCTCAGGTACCAAGCAGTAGTGACCCTTTTGGAAACATTGGACAGTCGCCCTCCACAACTACATCAACATCGACTGGACAGTCAGCCTTTTCCAAGCCCCCAGCCACACTCCCTTTTACAACTGGATCCCAAGATGTGTCGAATGCATTTCCACCGTCAGTTTCCAGGGCTCATTTTGGTGCTGCACCTTCCTCACAGCTGGGAGTAAATACCTATTTGCCGTCTCAGCCCAGTAGTCTCCCTCCAAATATCGGGACCCCCCCACAAGGGATTCCTCAACAAGGACATAACCCATATCGCCATACTCCTGTCAGTAGCAGGGCGAATCCTTACATTGCACCCCCACAACTGCAGCAGTGCCAGACGCCAGGCCACCCCTCCTACCCTCCGCCTTCCGGACCCCCTGTGCAGACGTATCAAATGCCGACAGGACCGATGCCACCGGTATGTGGACGTCATACCAGTTTTTTGTCTGAGTGAAAGTTTTAAAAGACTTTGTATGTTACAACTTTTTGAGGTTTTTTTATTTTTGTGTGTTTCATTTTGTCTGTATGTGTGTTTGTTGCCATTTGCATGCAATGCCCTTGGAGGCCAAAAGGAGGCATCAGATCCGGAACTGGAGTTACAGGTGTTAGCCACCATGTGGGTGCTGGGATTTGAACCTGGGTCGTCTGGAAGAACAGCCAGTGCCCTTAACTGCTGAGTCATCTCTCCAGCTCAACTTTACACACTTTAACATACACTGAGGATAAACTATATTTTTAACTTATTTTACTTTATATGTATGGGTGTTTTACCTGAGTGTGTATCTGTGCACCACATGTGTGTGCTTGGTGCCTCCGGAAGCCAAAAAAGGTGGTCAGATTCCCTAGAACTGGGGTTATAGATGGTTGTGAGTTATCATTTGGGTCCTGGGAACTGAAGCCAGGTCCTCCAAAAGCACATGCACTGGGCCATCTCTCCCGCACCAGACAGATTTTGTTTGTTGGTTGGTTGTTTTTTTGAGACACAGTTTCACTGTTTAGCACTGGCTGTCCTGGAATTTGCTTTGCAGACCAGGTTGGCTTTTTACAGAGGGGTGTGGTGTGTTACTGGTGATCCAAACCAGGGTGATAAATGTAGTGGGTAAGCATCCCCATTGGGCTATCCCCCAGCTCACCTTTAGTTATGAGATGGGATCTTGCTAAATTGCCTTGTTTGGTTTCAAATTGCTGATCTTCTTGGCTCAGCCCCAAGCACTTGGTATTATAGGCATATGTCACAAAAGTTGTTCTTTGTAAACCGCATGCTTCAAAGTAAACTTTTAAAAGTAGATAATTGGAGACGAGCAAGATGGCTCAGGGGGAAGGCACTTGCCGTAAAGCCTGAGGACCTACTTGATTTAGATCCCAGGGCCCATATAGTAGAAGGAGAGAATTGACTCCTACAAATTTCCCCTGACTTCCACACTTGGCTATGATGCAAGTATGCCCACCCAAGTAAATAAATAAATTGGTTATAAGGTAGCTATCAAGTGGTTCCTATTCAAGTTTATATCACCTGTTTACTGGAGTAATGGTTGATTTTAATTGAATAAGTACATGCTGATATTTTTTTGTGTATAATTTCAATAAGTGTTATCTAAGGACTCTTGAGAATTGAGGCAATGTAGTCTTTGTAGACTGCCAGCTGCTTCTTATCTTACTCATACTAGTTAGTGAGAACACTTAAATTACAGGGACTGAAAGTGATTCCTCCACTAACTTTAATGTTTATGGTTTGGTTGCAGCCAATCAAATGTGTGTGTGTGTGTGATGTGTGTGTTAGATCCACATTTACATACTGCCATACTTAGAATGTAATGACTGGGTCAAGAAGTATGGGTATTATAAAGATGTTAAAATTATGGGACCTGTGCAGGTCTTGTGCATGCTGCCAAGTTCAAGCCATACAAAATCCCAACACTGAGGAGGAGAAGTGGGCACAGAGTTCCGCCCCTAACCAAGAAGCTGTTTGTGCTTCATAGCTGCTGGGAGAGGGCACTGGGCATATCAACCACACTCCAGGGCAGGCCTTATGCTCTGGAGTAATTGGCCAACACAAAATGAACTACATAGATTTTTTTTTGTTTGTTTGTTTTGCTTTGTTTTTTGTTTTTCAAGACAGGGTTTCTTTGTGTAGCTTTGGAGCCTCTATAGTTCTGGCTGGCCTCGAACTCATGGAGATCCGCCTGCCTTGCCTCCCAAGTGATGGAATTAAAGGAGTGCACCACAACTGTCCAGCTAAACTCTATGTTTTTCTTTGTGTGTGCTTTTTGTTTGTTTGTCTATTTGGGGATTTTTTTTTTAAAGAGCATGAAGTTGGGTGATGGGGGCTTGGGAGGGGTTGGTAGAGGGAAATATATGTCTAATATATTGTATGAAAAAGTTTAAAAATAGTTTCATTAAAAATTTAGAAATTTCCAGGCAGTGGTGGTGCATGCCTTTAATCCCAGCACTTGGTAGGCAGAGGCAGGTATATCTCTGTGGTTTCGAGGCCAGCCTGGGCTACAGAGTGAGTTCCAGGATAGCCAAGGCTACATAGCAAAATCCTGTTTTGGGAGGGTGGGAATTAAATATGGGAAATATATTTAGGGGTGTCAGTTTGCCATTAGTGTGCAGAAGTCTAGTTTATTTTGCAATTGATCTGAGGTTTTGTTATACTGGTTATAACCCTAAATAGTTACCTAGAGATACATGTAGGATAATTATTATTGATGTCAGTTGGATCTGAAGCAGGTAGAGAATTTCTTTTGGGCACATGTGACAGTTCTAACCTTTTTCCTTCAGCTCCCTCCATCAGTGCAGTCACCAGCACAGCAGCAAGTACCTGCCAGACCTGTGGGACCCCCTGTACAGGGGCCACCTCCTTTTATACTTCAGAACCAGTATGAACCTGTTCAGCCTCATTGGTTTTATTGCAAGGAGGTGGAACACAAACCTCTGTGGATGCCTTTCAGTGTGCTTGACTCCCTGAATCTTGAAGAGATCTATAATTCAGGTAAGTACCCATCTTGCATTATCCCACCTCATTTGAGGAAAAGATAAGGGTATTTATCCATGAGCTACTTTTTGCAACTGTCAGATTCCTGACTCTATGTAGGTCTCCAGACTCCACTTTAAGATGGTGGTACTAATTCATATGTACCCTGAATTATTGAGCAAAGGATTTAAAGAATTAGTTTAGCAATTTCCTTTGTTTTAGCTGGGCGCAATGGCACACTTTTCATCCCAGCACTTAGGACAGGCAGTTTGAGGCCAGCCTAGTCTACATAGTAAGGTCTATGTCAGCCAAGGCTACATAGATCCTGCCTCAGTGAAACAAAACAACCAAAAGTTGTTTTAAATCAGAGAAGTACAGTTCTTACATAATCCAAGTTTTAGTTTTCCCATTTGCCTTACTCATTTGTAGTTATAGGACATCAAGTATTTCCTGTGGAACTCTGGTTTGTAAAGTGCTCTGTGAAAACATTTTTCTGAGGTCAGATGAGTTTTGGAAATAATTACTCTATATGATTCTTTATCTTGATATTTGACTATGAGACTTAAATATCAGTCATTATTCTCTAGCAATAGACTTCATGGAACATTGTGGTACTTTGATGCTATTGCTTTGTTTTACTTTTGAAATGGTATTTTATTGAGCCCAGGCTGGCCGCTAACTTACCATGTTGCCAGAATTAGCTAGGAACTCATAATCCTCCTGACTCCATACCCAAGTGCTGAGATGACAGGTATATGGCCGTACATCTGGTTTAATTAAAAAAAAAAAAAAAAAAAACAAACTACGAACTATTTCAGTTATTTCATGATTGTGTTTTTAAAGCTTGCCCTCACTCTTTCTACTCAAGAAGAGTCATGATGCATAGGGGCTCACCCCTGTGATCTCAGTACATGGGAGACAGGAGCAGGAGGACTGCTTGGAGGTTGAGGTCAGCCTGGACTACATAGTAAGACTCTGCCTCAAAAAAAAAAAAAAAAAAAAAAAAAAAAAAAGTGTATGTCATAACTTTGAGTAATACAGATTATCTGTATTCTTAAATAAAAACAAACTTAATTGTCTTCTTTGAGTATTGACTAGTAGCATCATGAATATTAAAGTTCATGTTACTTGCATTTTCAATTGTGCCTGGTAACATTAGGGAAAAATGTCCTCTCTTGGTTCCTAGTGCAGCCAGATCCTGAAAGTGTGGTTCTAGCCACAGATGGAGGGCGCTATGATGTCTACCTCTATGACCGCATGAGGAAGTCTGTGTATTGGGAAGAGGAGCCAGCTGAAGTGAGACGCTGTACTTGGTTTTACAAGGGGGACACAGATAGCAGATTTATTCCCTATACAGAGGAGTTCAGTGAAAAACTAGAGGTATGAATGCTTTACTTTTTATACTTTTTAAAAAAAACAAAAAACAAAAAAAACCAAAACAAACAAACAAACAAAAAAAAAAAAAAAAAACAACCAAAAAACAAAACATAGCCATGTATATGGGAGGCTTCTGTGACACCGCTCAGTGGAGATGGCTTTATTTACAAGATGGTCTGTCTTGATCCTTGTCACTAGGGAGATTGATCTTTAGGTGTTATCATCATTCAGGATGTACTGCACGTAGTTCAACCCAGTGTCAGGCCAGTGTTGGAGTGTGTTGGGGGCAGTCTACCTCTGCTGAAGTGCTCATATCAATCCTTCAAACAAAATTAGGTAGAAACAAGGCATGCTAGCAATTGTCTGTAATCTCAGCATTCATGAGGCCAAGGCAGGCTATCAAGAGTTTGAGGACTGCCTTGGCTAGAGAGGGAATCAGTCTACAAAAACAATCTCCTTTTGATTTTTCAAGGCAGGGTTCTCTGTAGTTTTGGAACCTATCCTGAAACTTGCTCTGTAGACCAGGCTAGCTTCAGACTCACAGAGGTCTGCCTGCTTCTGCCTCCACCACCGCCCGACTAAAGCATGATTTTTGAAAGGGTTTTATGACATTTATTTAAGTGTGTGCTCACTGTAGTGTGTGACTGGAGGTCAGAGAATATACCAGAGTTGGGAATGAAATTCAGGTTTTTAGGTTTGGTGGGAAGGGCCTTTACCCACTGAGCCTTCTGGATGGCCCTTAAAGTGTAATTTTAGTTAGTCAAATAAGGGGAAATGTGCAACAGGGTACTGATTTCTAGAGCTTAAATTTGAATCCAAACAAGCAAATAATTAAATATGTACTATAATTGTTTGTTCTTCCAGGCTTATTATTTGAAGCTAAAAGTACAGTGTTCAAGTAGGAGTATGTGAAAGTAGAATAAGCATTTCTTTTAACTGTAATGATGATATCATATGTGGGAGACACAGGCTGCAGGCTAGGGTAGAGGTTCCAGCTCCTGCCCAGCTTTCTAAGAACCCCGCAGCATTGGTGGAGGACGAGGGAGAGACACTTGATGCGTATGACTCTGCGTTATATAGGTGATCCTGCCCTATCTGAGTACCAGGACAAAGAACAGAAAATTCTTTTGATTTGATAATGATGCAGTTGTCTCAGAAAACCAGGGGAACCTTTAGAAATACCATTAGCCCAAATGCAAGAGTTGGGAGTGACTGTGTACAATCAATCAAAGTTAAGTTAGCAACATTCCTGTGCAATAGAACTGACCAGTTAGAAACCATAATAGAACATACTGTTTATAATGCCAAGAAAACTCCAAAGACTATAGAAAAAATTCAATAAAAGACACTTAGCCACACCAGGCGTTGGTGGGGTACACCTTTAAAGCCTTTAATCCCAGCACTCGGGAGGTGGAGGCAGGTGGATTTCTGTGAGTTTGAGGCCAGCCTGGTCTACAAAGCGAGTTCCAAGACAGGCTCCAAAGCAACACCGAGAAACCCTGCCTTGGAAAAACAGAAAAAAAAAAAAAACCTCATGAGGATTAGGGCTTGTAGTTGTGTGTAAAATGTCTGCCTAGTATGCACAAGGCCTCTGGATTTGATTTCTAACATTTTGAGGAGAAAAAAGATATCCTTAAGCTGTACACAGTGATATGAGCTGCTAGGCTTAGGAATTTAAGGTTATAGCAAGATTATACTGCCCCTCCCCAGTGATCTTTATGGAGGAAAGGTATGAAAAAGAGCTTAAAAATTGCCTGAGTATGGTAGGTAGCCTGTGCCCTTAATTCCATCAACTGGGAGATAGAGGCAAGTAGATTTCTGGGTGAGCGGCCAGCCTGGTTTACATAGCAAGCTCAAGATACTGTCTCAAAAAAAAAAAAAAAAAAAAAAAAAAAAAAGGCAGGGAGAGGACTGTAGAGGTGGCCTCTGGAATAGAGAAAAATAAATACTTTGTATATGCAGCATCAGCATCAAAGTTGTCTTCTCAGAGTCCTTGAGAGATTTAGTGTATCTCCTTCCCTTCTACCCAAATACTGTTGAGTTACTAACACCTACTACCCCTGAACGCAACTTATGAGGAACTAGGTTGTTATAGAAGAGATGAGTTACGATGAAGTTATTTTGAGTAGAGTGGCCCCTAACTCCATATAGCCAGTGTCTTTGTACATAATAAACAAACAAAACGGAAATATTCAGATAGAATGCTGTAGTTTGATAGAGGCAGAATTTGGAGTTAGGCTTCTGCCAAGGAATGGCCTTGATTGTAGCAAGCCAATAGTAGTTAGGGGGGTATTCTATGCAGGTTTCACAGGGATTGGTGTCCTGCTGTCACTGTGATTTGGATTGGTAGCCTCAAGAACTATGAGACAAGTTCATTTTATACTACTTGACTTCTTCAGTTCTAGGAAACAGATACACTGTCTCAGCCTCCATTATCTTGTCCATGTAGAGGAGATGATAGTACAGAGTGTGTGAGAGCAGACACTGGAGTCAGGGTAGAAAGCATGACAGTTAAACTGACCTACTCTTCTGCATAATTTTGTGTCTTCTCCACACTTGTCTTGATGGTTGTAGTGACTGAATTGTGTGCCATTTTGTCACTGCAGGCTGAATATAAAAAAGCTGTAACAACGAATCAGTGGCACCGCAGATTAGAGTTTCCAAGTGGAGAGACCATCGTTATGCACAATCCAAAGGTGAGGCACCTCCTGAGATGGTGGAGGCCCCCCTAAAGGCTTTCTTCTGCATGTGTGATACCATTTCATCTTAGTGTTTTTGCAGGGATTTCTTTGTAACAAATGTACTACTTTTTAATTAATTAATTTGGTTTTTTGAAACAGGGTTTCTTTGCAGCTTTGGAGCCTGTCCTAGAATTCCCTCTGTAGATAGATCCACCTGCCTCTGCCTCTTGAGTGCTGGGATTAAAGGAGTGCACCATTGCCACCCAGCTTTAATTTTATTCTTTATTTAATATGTACACATATACGCATACATACATACATACTGAGAAAGGGTTTCTCTATGTAGCTCTGCTGTCCTGGAACTCACTATGCAGAACAAGCTGCTACAAACTCAGAGCTCTATCTGCCTTTGCCTTAAAGGCCCAAAACAACCATGCCTGGCAAGTGTGTTTTGGAGTAACTTATTATAAATTGTGGAAATTCAACTTTTTCTCATGAAGTTTCTGTTTGAGTAACATGTCGCTGATATTGAGTATCACCTTAGAAGAAGTTTGGTGAAACTTTTCATGTGATTTGATGGAGCTGACTCTTTACAAAGGGCCAGAGAAAATGGTCAAGGCTTTGCAAGCTGTCTGCTCTCTATTGAGCCACCACCTCTGCCTTTGTATTATGAGAGCAGCTGGGAGAAACAATTTGTAAATCAGTGAGTGTGTAGAAATGTTGTTATTTTGTTTCGCATTTTTTTGAGACAAGGTTTCTCTGTGTAGCTCTTGACTAGACCAGGCTGGGATTGAATTTAGAGATTCGCCTGTCTCTACCTTCCTGAGTGCTGGGATTCTTTTTGGCTATCCTGGAACTCGCTTTATAGACAATCAGTCTAGCCTTGAACTCACAGAGATCCACCCACCTCTGTGTCTCAAGTGCTGGGATTAAAGGCTTGCACCACCACTCTGGCATTACCTCAATACCGAAGTCACTTTTTTTTGTGTGTGTGTTTTTCGTTTGTTTTTGTTTATTTATTCTTTTTGTTTTTTAAGTAGTTAAGTTTTTGGAGAGTCAAAGTTATCTGTGCATTTTTTTCCCCCCTACTTATTTATTTGTTTCATTTTTAGGTCCCAACCTCAGTTCTCCCCCCTCCTCTCCTCCCAGGCCTGCCCCCTCATCCACTCCTCCTCCTCTCTCCTCTATTGCTCTTCAGAAAAGGGCAGGCCTCTCATAGATATCAGCCAGTCATCGTATACCAAGTTGTAGTGAGACTAGGCACCTCTTCTCCTATTAAAGCTTGATGAGGTAATTTAGTAGGAAGAAAGGGTCTCAAGCAGACACCAGAGTCAGCCCCAGCTCCCACTGTTAGGAGGCCCATAAGAAAACCAAGCTACACATTGTAATGTATGTGCAGAGGGCCTTGCTCAGTCCCATACAGGCTTCCTGGTTGTTGGTTCCATCTCTGTGAGCCCCTATGAGCCCAGGTTAGTTGATTCTGTGGGTTTTCTTGTTGTGTCCTTGACCCCTCTGGCCGCTCTAGTCCTTCCTCCCCCTCCTCCACAGGATTCCCCATGCTCTGCCTAGCATGTTTGGCTGTAGGCCTGTGCATCTGTTTCCATCTGTTGCTGAAGCCTTTGATGAGTTGGGCTAGGCACCAATCTATGAGTATAGCAGAATATCATTAGGAATCATTTCATTGGCCTTTTCCCCCCAGTCATGCCTGGTTCTATCCTAGGTCTCTCTGCTGTCTCACCTCTGGGTCCTGGCCCTTGGGTTACTGCCCTCTCATTGTATGGGTCTCAAGATGGATCAGTTATTGGTTGCTCGCTCTTATAATTTTTGTGCCACTTTTACCCCCAGAATATCTTGTAGGCAGGACAAACTGTGAGTCGAAGGTTTCATGGCTAAGTTGGAGTACCAGTCCCTCTACTGGAATTCTTGCCTGGTTATGGAAGATGGCTGGTTCAGGCTCCATATCCCCCACTGCTAGGAGTGTGAGCTAGGGTCATCCTCATAGATTGCTGGGGTTATCAATTGCTCTAGGTTTCTATCTTGTCCCAGGGATGCCCCCAGATTCCAGTCGTATCTCCCAGTACTCTCTCCCTCCCCCCTCCCCCCCACTTGATTCCTCCCTTTCCCATGCCCACCCCCTCATCCAGGCCACTTCCCCCATCCAATGGCAGTATCTATTCTATTAAATCTTATATCTCTACACAGATGTGCATGTGCAACACACCTTTATAACCCCTTCCCATTCTTGTGGTGCTGAGAATCACTCAGAGGGAAAAATCAATATATACTATTTTGGATTTCAGTGTATGATTTTCCAACGTAAGCATTGGAAATAATGCTTAGTTTGAAATAATATTTCGTTTGATAAGTTAATGGTAGCTGGACCTTTACAGAATTTCCTTGAGCAGGTCTACTTCATTTATAACCATGTATACTGTGACTCACAGGATTCTTCCTATTAAACACATTAATTTGAAGTAGGCTTAGTGGTACATGCCTGTAGTCCTAGCACATGGGAGGCAGAGGCAGGAGGATGGCTGCAAGTTCTGGTCTAACTTTGTCTAGATAACAAGTTCCAGGCCAGTGAGGGGATGTGTAGAACCAAACAACAACCAACAACTCCCCCCCCCCAATACTGCTTAGCTTATAGTAGGAAATAATTTTGCTAATGAGCCTTGTCATAATCATGTCTTGAAGGTTATTGTTCAGTTCCAGCCTTCTTCAGTGCCAGATGAGTGGGGAACGACACAAGATGGACAGACAAGGCCCAGAGTTGTAAAGCGTGGAATTGATGATAACCTTGATGAGATTCCCGATGGTATGTTTAGTTTGCTTAGGGGAAAGTAATGTTTGGGCTGCTCTGTTAGTGTATTTGTTTACTATGAAAATAGAAGCAGTTACTAGAATTACTGCCAGAGTGCTCAGAATTCAGCCATATAGGTCGATCACATTTCTATCTTTTTTTTCTTATTATTGATCTTTAAAAATTTTTTTTCTTTTCTTTTTTTATTTTTACAAGTGGTGAGTGTTCTGCCTGCATATATATTCATGTATCATGTATGTGCCTGGAGCCAACAGAGGTCAGAAGTAGGATTCAGATATCCTGGGAGTTAGGGACCGTTATGAGCTACCATGTGGGTGTTGAGAACCGAACCTAGGTCCTTTGCCAGAACGACAAGCTCTTTGAACCACTGAGTGATCTGTCAGCTCTACATTTCTATCTTTTTGTTTGGAGACAGGGTCTCACTGTGTAGTCCTGGCTATCCTGGAATTCAGAGCTCTACCTGCCTCTGCTGAGATTAAAGGTATGAACCACCATGTTTGGCTCATTTTTATCTTTTTATGAAAAGCTTTTAGATTATTTCTAGGGACTTGCTTTCAGCAGCATGCAAGCAGGCGTACAGGCAGGCAGGCAGGCAGGCAGGCAGGCAGGTAGGTGTGGGGCTGAGATCTTTAGAACCTGTTCCAAAGGCAAAGAGAGTATGTGCTTTTAAAACCTCAATGACACCCTCCCTCCCCTCCAAGCCACACCTCCCAATTCTTCCCAAATAGTTCCACTTCCTGGTGACTAAACATTTAAATATATGAGACTTTGGTGTTCATATTTATTCAGACACTAGAGGTTTTTTTTTTTTTTTTTTTTTTTTTTGTTTGGAGACAGGGTTTCAGTGTATAGCCCTGGTTGGCTTTGAACTTGCTATGTGGACCAGGCAAGCCTCCAACTCAGATCCACCTGTTTCTGCCTCCAGAGTGATGGGACTGAAGGTGTGCAGGACCATGCCTGGCTCTCCTACAACATTTTTGATTTAAGGAGAAGGACTTTGGAACAAAGATGTTTTATATTGGTGGATTGCTTGTCCATGTCGGGCTTAGTGCTCTGGGGAGTTTTGAGGGTTTTTTTTTTTTTTTTTTTTTTTTTTTTTTTTTGTAGTTGTTTTTTTGTTTTTCAAGACACTTTCTCTGTGTAGCAGTCCTGGCTGTCTTGGAACTCATTTTGTAGACCAGGCTGGTGTCGAACTCATGGAGATCCATCTGCCTCTGCCTTCTGGGTGCTGGGATTAAAGGTGTGCACTGCCAGACTATCAAATTTTTTTTGTTTTTGTTTGACTGAGCTCAGGGCCATTTCATGTACACATTTTATATTGCTGAGCTACACCTTTATCCCAGTCCTATGGAATTCTGAAAAGATCATACATTGTGACAGATCCATAGGTTTATGAAAAACAGGGCCTGTTTCCTTGACCTTTCCATTTAGTTTGCTATTATTTGTCTTTTTTTGGGGGGGGGCAGTCGTGTTGGAGTCTCTGTGGCTTTGGAGCCTGTCTTGGAACTCACTCTAGACCAGACTGGCTTCAAACTCTGAGAAATTTGCCTGCCTTTGCCTCGGAATTCTTTGGCTAGTTAATGATAAAAGAGGTATCAAGGTGGTGGCACACCCATTTAATCCCAGCACTCTGGAGGCAGAGGCAGTCGGATCTCTGAGTTTGAGGTCAGCCTGGTCTACAGAGTAAGTTCCAGGACAGGCTCCAAAGGTATTAGAGAAACCCTGTCTTGAAAAACAAACAAAAGAGAATTTAGCAATTTAATTAACTGTACCAAATTCTCAGTGTGTGTGTGTGTGTGTGTGTGTGTATGATGATTTTATTATTTGTTTCTTTTTACTAGGGGAAATGCCTCAAGTTGACCATTTGGTTTTCATGGTTCATGGCATTGGACCTGTGTGTGACTTGCGCTTTAGAAGCATTATTGAATGTGGTAAGTGCAAGTTACATTTTATTTCATAGAATAACCTGAATACTGAGAGAAGATCTCTTTAGTATTCATTTTATGGTAGTTCCTAGCTGTGTACTCATGGCTGAGGGCACTAAAGGAGATTTCTGTGGTTAGTAGGAAGTATTAACTTGCATCGGATCTGCTCTTACTTTTGTTCTTTTGCTGTAGCTAATGCCTCACAAACATGAGACTCAGCACCCACCGAAAGCAAGGGAGAGAGAGAGCAGAGAGAAAGAGCAAGAGAGGACAAGAAAGGGGGGGCAGAGAGAGAGAGAGAGGTGGGAATGTTAGGAACTAGCAGCTTGCTGACCCCGCCCCCAACGATGGGCGGGATGCTCATGGCCATGTCACCATGTCACCTGGCTGCCAGAGGACTCAGTTACGCATGCTCAAGCCCCCCTTTTAAAGCAAGCGCGCCAAGCGCCCCCCCCCTCTGGCCCCCCTCTCTTGCCCTCCCCCTCTCTCTTGCTCTTTCTCTTTCTCCCCTGCTTTTAGTTGGCTACCAGCTACCCCCCTTTCTCTCCCCTCTCTCAATAAACTCCACTTGGGCTCCGAGTCTTGTGTTTGTGTTTCATAGGCAATAGTTATGTCAAAAGAACAACATTTAACTGCATAAGATTCTGGATTCTGAAGAATTAGAAGGTGTCATGAGAATAATTACACATTTTGGCAGATAGCTTCCTGCCTGAGTACTGCAGCATGGAGCTCCTGCTCTCTGAACTGACACATAGGTAACCCTCTGAAAAGCTGTTTAGGGACATGCCAGTGACCAACCATTCTCAGTTGGTCTGGGAATGTAAGGACTTTGTCTGCAGTAATAGTTTGCATTTACTGGACTATTGGTATTGTATCCCTCACAAATACACCTCACTGTTACCTCCAGTGCTAAGTGAGGAAAGACCTTGGCTGAATTAAGTGCTCTATTTTCACAGTTGTGACAGTGTTGAAGTCAGGGCTTGATTCCGGTCTGCAGAGGTAATTGAGTAAATTTTAGGCTTCAAAAAATAATGAAACTTTTTCAGGACTTGCTAACAGTTGGGTGTTTGTTCACTTGCTATTTTTAAAAGCGTATATATTTATATTATTAAAAATGCCAGCACATTTCAGTTAATTAGCTTCCAAGCTAAAATAATCAATTTACCTCTTGATTTTTTTTTTTCTTTTCTTTATTTTAGTGGATGATTTTAGGGTGGTTTCTCTCAAGTTGCTGCAGACACACTTCAAGAAGTCTTTAGATGATGGGAAAGTCAGCCGAGTGGAGTTCCTTCCTGTTCACTGGCATAGTGCCCTGAGTGGTCATGCCACGGGTGTGGACAGGTTTGTAGATTTTGATGTCATGTTTTTCAGAGCAATTAAAATTAGAGGCAAATTTAAACAGTAATGCAAACTGATTTATTCCAACTTAAGCAAATAAGGTTCTTTATGCTAATGATGATCTTGCTCTGATGTGACGAAATGCTAGTTATACTGTAAATATGTGACTGTTCCCCATGTATATCTGTGCTTGTTCTTATTGTAAATATTTAAGAGGATCTAGGAAATTTTAGACACTTTGAGTTTATTTTTGGTGCTGGAAATTGAACTCAGAATCCCAGGTGTGGTGAACAAACACACCCCTGCTCTGCAGCTGGCTTTAAAACCCACTCTGACCTGCTGTGGTTAGGTGGGGCCTGCTGGGAATGCTCAGCAGCCTCTTTGTCTGGTTAATAGATCTCCTTCACCACTCGATGTCCCCCATGGGGCAAAAAACAAGCAAACAAACAAATAAACAACCCATCCCTGTTTGAGATTTAGAATGGTAGTTTGTTTGTGGGGATGCATAAAGCTGTTAAATGGGAGGACTTTTAACATCCTAGTGTTGATGCCCCTGAGGGCTATCGGCACTGACCAGGCCCTGTGATAGAAATCCACACTCAGTTTTGAATGCTTCTATTTCAGAGCCACAGTTTCAGATAATATTGATGCTGCCACACATGTCTAATAAATTGCTCCCAGTTGGTGGTCCCTGTGATGAGTTGGGGCTATGGCCACACTGGACTGTGCTGTGAGGTGCTCACTTCCCCAGGGAATGCTGAATATTCTAGCCGTGACAGCCTCTTGGCTCTGCCAGCCTCAACTTTTGTCAGGCATCCAGATTTTCAGTTAGTTAGAAGAAAATGGGACATTAGGCTTTTCTATGTAGGATCAGCCTGTGGCATTTACAAGTTCATTGTACTAACTAATGTATAATCTCTACCTTTGTACTATGGTTTTTTTCTTTTTCCAGAAATAAAAATCTAAAGTGTTAAAAACCAGAGATGGAAGGTAACTATTGACAGTAACTTTGTTTTTTCCTTTTAAAACAGGAATATCAAGAAAATCACTTTGCCAAGTATTGGTCGGTTCCGGCACTTTACTAATGAAACTCTGCTAGACATTTTGTTTTACAACAGCCCTACCTACTGTCAGTCAATTGTGGAGAAAGTGGGAGTGGAGATAAACCGGCTATACTCTCTCTTTTTGAGTCGGAACCCAAACTTCAAAGGAAAGTTCTCCGTTGCTGGTCACAGTTTAGGTAAAGCTGTCACATCATTTCAGATGTGCCTGTTTGGTGTGTCCAGCCAGACATTGCTTTGTGCTTGTCTGGCTGCATAATTTAGAGAGCTTGGATTTTGAAGGAAGACAGTGTTTTGTGTTGAGACTGCCTTTGCTTTTCATGTTCAATAGCTAAGTAAGGCTATGCATTTTCACTGTTGTTTTAAGATTTTATTTCATTTATGTAGTGAGTATGGGTCTGTTGAATGTATGCCTTAGAAGCCAGACGGACGGTAACTCATCCCTGGAGCTGGAGTTAATGGTGCTTGTAAACTGCTGGGTATGGGTGCTGGGAACCAAGCTTAGGTTCTCTGGAAGAATAGGATGCATGGGACCTCTGAGCTGTTTCTTTAGCCATTAGGCTGTACATACATGTTGTTTTGTCCTTAGATGAAACAGAAATATTATTAGATCTAGAATGGGTAGGTAAAGCTGTTCCACATAATGTCAGATTTGCTTGTTTGGTTTGTTCAGAAGTTGCTTTGTGTTTTTCTGACTGCAAAACTTAGAGCATATACAAAATTCATACACATATACACGCATAGACGTGTGTACTCAGCACCTGTGCAGGGTCAGAGGACAACTCTGTAGGGTGTGTTCTCTTCTCCCTTTACTCTGTTTGTTTTCTGTTGCTTTGATGAACATCATGATGAAAAGCAACTTGGGGAGGAGAGGTTTTGTTTCTGCTGACAGTAGTAGTCTGTCCTGAAGGGACATCAGGGCAGGGCTTCCTGCATACACGAGAAGCTGGAAGCAGGAACTGAAGTGGAGAGCATGCAGGAATGCTGCTTACTGGCCTTCTCCTCCTGGCCTGCTCGCTACACTCAGGATCATGTGCCCAGAGATGGTACTGCCCAGAGCAGAATGGGTCTTTCCGCTTGAATCATTGCCAGTCTAATGGGGTGTTAGTTTCTAGTTGAGATTTCCTGTTTTCTGATGAGATGATCCTAGCTCTGGCAAGTTGACAGAAACCTAAGAACCAACTCACATGGACTCTGGAGATGAAATTCAATTTTCTAAGCTTGCAAGGCACATACCTTTACTGGCTGAGCCAGCCACCTTGCTAGTGCTGATTATCAGATTTTAATCAGCTGCGCATCTTTGTATGACTTCTGCTAGAGACTGAAAAAAAGCCAGGAGGAATTGTTTAGTGTTGAAAAATGCCTGGGGTAGGTAACTTTGTTATAAAACACAATATATCTTTTTCTTAGGTTCTTTGATTCTGTTTGACATCTTGTCTAATCAAAAAGATACAAATGTCTCTAAGTCTCCGGGGTCCATGGCTGTTTCTAATGGAGTTCTGAAACAGCCAAATTTTCAGGAAAAGCAGGTAAGTCTGTAGTTATCCTGTTAGATTTAGAGCTAGCCCTGAGCTCTTCTCCAAAACTTGTACTGTTTCTAGTAACTCTTTAGTTGTCAAAATACATTGAGGCTCAGAAGTACAGTAGAAGAGTTGGCCCGTGCGCCTGTAATCCTGGCTGCTTTGGAGACAGATGGCAGGGGGATGAGTTCAAAGCCAGTAACACAATGAGATGCCATCTCTAAAAATAGAAGTTTCTCACTCCTTTCCTCATGCATTATAAAGTAAATGTGAAGGCTTAGGATTTTAAAAAGTAAATTATTATTACATTTATTTATTTATCATCTATCTTCTTATTTGTTTATTTTCTAGACAGGATTTCTCTGTGTAACAGCCTTAGCTGTCCTGGAACTCGCTTTTGTAGACCAGGTCTGAGATCTGCCTGCCTCTGCCTCCTGAGTGCTGGCATGAAAGGTGTGCAATACCACTGCCCAGCTTTAAAAGTAAATTATTATTGGAAATGGAGATATGAGTGATTTACTAGATGAATATGCCATAAAGTCCAGGTGACAGATGGCAGAGTGCTAAAATTGTGGTTTGTTTGTATAGCAAAGTTATTTCAGATTTTGTGTAGATCAGGATACATATTGTGGGAGTTTTTTTTTTTTTTTTACACTTTATAATATTTTCACCTCCTTTTTATTAAGATACCTGAAGAGTCAAAGCTGATGTCAGATGAATCGTGTGACCTTGATGTTGAAAATGAAGAACCCCCAACCTTGCATGGAACCCTGGAAGCCCTCAGCCTCTTTGATTACATTAGCACTTTTGAAAAGGAAAAGATGGATATGGAATCTCTGGTACTGATATTAGCCTGCTTCATTTTGTTGAAAATGAAATTGAAGAATGACTTAAGCATTCTTACATCAGAATTTATTCCACATAAGCCAAAAGTTTAATGCTTAAAAAAATAGAGAAAAAGGGGGCTGGAGAGAGAGTTGTCTCAGTGGATAAGAGCATGCGCTGCTCTTGCAAAGGGCTGAGGTTTGGTTTCCAACGCCCCCACTGTGCCTCACAACTGTCTGTGACTCCATTCCAGGATCCAGTGTCCTCTTCGCTGATGTGGGCATTGGTGCATACATAGTGACATATATACACCCAAGTAACACACACACACACACACACACACACACACACACACATATATATAATAAATACAGCAAAAATTATTTTTTTCCTGGATTTTCAAGTCAGGGTTTCTCTGTATAGCTTTGGCTTCCTGGAACTCATTTTGTAGACCAGGCTGGCCAGGTATTTCACAGAGATATACCTGCCTCCACCTCCCAAGTGCTGGAATTAAAGGCATGTCCCACCATTGCCTGATACTAAATACAGCTTTCTTTTTTAAGATTTGAGAAAAATAAAATAGTTAAATTTGTGAAGCTTTTTTAAAGCATGAGACAAAATCTAGAGGCTACATATGGACAAGAATTTCAAAGTAGTGAACAGCATGACATACCTTATGGCCAGAGAGAGATTAGAAAAGCACCTGGACACAGACAGAGGTGGCTTTCATGGTCAGAGCTTATACAGGACTTTGATAGGGAAGCAGCAGGCAAATGGGCATTGAAACAAGAGCATGATCTATAGGAAAGAAAGTAACAGGTGACCTTATGCCCTGGGAGAACAAGTACAGAATTCCAGCGAAGAGTAAGTTTGATACTGGTCTTGACCAGTCAGTGATAACATTCTATGTGGCTAGGAGAAGTTGACAGTTTTACTCTGGTTGCTGAGAGTGTAAATGGGCACATTCTCTGCAGAGCTTTGTAATGTCTTCTGAAATAAGTTCGTCCTGCTGTTGTTACTGCTAGAAATGTTTTCTCTAAGGAAGCCCCTGGGAATACCTGCAGGGATGTTCACTGAACACTGTTTTCAGTAGTCTGGGACTTTAGCAGCCACAGGGCACACTGGCAGGGTGTTTGGAGTCATTTGTGCAGCCCTGCAGTAGGACTCACAGCACTTGAGTGACACACAGACATTGTCATCAATCTTGACCTGTGAGGTACTCGGGTGAAAAGAGAAAAGCTCGAGGCCAGCACACACACTGAAGAGCATGTTGCTGCTGTGTGCACATGAGGGATTTCTTAAGAGGGCAGATTGCTGCAGTTATCACTGAAAGAACTGGAAGGTTGGGACCAGAATGGACGGGAAAGATCTGAGCGGGAAGATCCATTAGAAACAGTGTAGGTTCAGAATTTTGCACAACATAAATAATATTTTCTATTAAAATAATAGAATTTTTAATGGAGAGACTAGTTAAGACTTTTTTTTTTTATAGTGTGGAAGTCAAGATCTCACACTTAGTAGGCAAATGCTCTGCCAGCAAACTGTACATTTTGATGCTTAAAACTATATATTGTTTTTTTGAAGGTTGACTGGGCCTTTGGTTGGTTTAGTTGATTCTTGTATTGTTCTTTGTATCCCATTTTCGGCTCATGTGTCTCTAGGTTGATTAATTAATATGTTTTGCTCCCCTTTAAAGCTTATGTGTACAGTTGAGGACCTGAAGGAGATGGGGATACCCCTTGGGCCCAGGAAGAAGATAGCCAATTTTGTAAAACTTAAAGCAGCCAAACTGGTAAGGTTCATCTCTGCTCTCAAGAAAAATGAACACATTTTGTAACCTGCATTTTTGTTTGTTTGTTGTATTTTTTCTATCTTTTAAGGCAAGGTCTTACACTATAACCCTGACAAGCCTAGAAAGAGAACAACTCACAGATCATTTTAGATAAAGCAAGCTATTTGATTAAGTGTTGAGAAAAGCTGTGAGATTATGAGGTGTCCCTTTCTCTGCATGTGAAATAAATCAGTTTCTAATCCCAGTTCACAAAGCTTCTCTTCACCTCGCCTGAGTCTGTCTCCATGTGTGGGCAGTTCCTCAGTTTATCTCCACACATGATCTTATCCAGAAGAGAGAATGATCTGATATTACTTTAATAAGCGTGTGGTCCTACACACACTGTTTCAGGAGTGTGCTACAGTGCTTCTGTATGTAGGCACAGTTGGTTCCCCCCACACACAGAAGGGATGCCAGGCCCATGGCAAGACAGACAAGGGTTGAGGAGTGACATCTTCAGGCTCTCTGCTTCATGTCCTTAATTTTTTCCTGCAATAAAAGATTAAAAAGTAGAAAAGTTTATTGAAAAACTCCTAGAAGGATCCTGTTTTATAGATTACAGTGGTTTAGCTATATAAGCTATGGCATTTTAAGCATGCTTGGAAATAAAGATCTGTAGTATATTCTCATTTTTAAAATTAAATTATAATTGCTTTTAGATGAACCATGGAATGTTGCCAGCCATATTGCATTGATTGCTTTGTATTGTTCACAGGTAAATTGCTGACAGACGAAGATAATATGTACTGTGTTTTAGTGACTGTCACTGAAATAATGGGACTAAAATTAGCCAATTATTTTTTAGCAACGATATCAAATATGCGTAGTCCGGATTCTCTCCCCTCTAAACCATCTTCTTCATTTTCATTGAAAAGGAATATTGCTGGTTACCTCTGTATATGTTGGTTCATTTGTACATTAAATTGCTGCCCGTGACTCTCCGGGAACAAAATAGCTCTTGGCAGTAAGTCAGTGTATGATTTCTTAGCATCTAGAGTATTACGTTCTATGAATATAGTGAAAGGTAATGCTGAACAGGAAGCAAATTGTAGCTGGAAGGAAGAACTGAAAATTCTAGATTTTTAGGTTTCAGGTTGCGCCTCCTCGTATAGATGAGTGAGATAATCAAGCTGTTCAAAATACCAGTGCTAGAATCAGTTACCCAAGCTGCCTGACTGAGTTTTCTGTGATTCTCTTGTCCTTTATATTAACCAGTTGGACACTTTCCTGTGTCCATAATATGTTGTGAGATGTTTTACACTCTTTTGGCTTTTTGAGGGGCTCTCCACCCAGCTCCCAAATGAATATACATAGGCTTATTCTAAGTGCCTAGACTAAGCTTGGCTTGTTGTTAGCCAGCTTTTCTTAAATTAACCTGTCTACCTTTCCCCTCTGGGCTTTTATCTTTCTTACTTCTGTATATCTTATTCTTACTCTGTGGATGGCTGGGTGGCTGGTCCTGATGTCCTCTCCTTGTTCTCAAGTTCCCGTCTTATAAACCCCTCTCTACCTGGCTCCTCCCTACAACTTCCTCCACCTGGCTGCTCCTCCCTACGACTTCCTCTACCTGGCTTCTTCCTACAGCTAGTGGCTGACCTATCCTCCTGACTGCAAGTGACTTTTATCTAATCAAACACATCTTTGCATCATTAAACAAATGTTGCAGAGTATAAACAAAAGTAACACACCTTACAATAATATTCTACAACAATAGTATTTTGGAATTAATCAATAGAAAAGAACAGCTTGGTCAACTGTTTTTTTTTTTTTTTTTAAGCTGCTGTGAAACAGAGTCTAACATAACCCTTCCCAGCCTAGGGAGCAAGAGGCTCTGACCCCGTGGATACAGAGGTCCACCTTGGCAAGTGTGTGTCTTCTCTTGACACGTGTTCAGTCAGTGTGTACTTCCCAACCATTGGACATGGGCTTTGCCTCATTAGCAGTAGCATCCTTCATCTATTTGCTTTTGTTGTTTGTTTGTGGAAACGTATAGATAGCTCTTAAAGTATTCTGGGTCGTGAATTTTGATAACCAAACACATGTGTAGGTAGCGCCTAAAAGCAGAATGTGTCTGTCTCAGTGTCTTCTCATCAGCCCCCTCCTCTCAGCCATCACCATTGTGATTTCTTTCAGTACATTTATGTTTCTTTCTGTCTAGACAGTCATGTAAATAGAGTAGGTAGAGTGTACTGTTTTGTATCTGCCCTCCTGTACTTAATATTTTAAGATCATGTAAGATAGCCAATGTTAGATTGAAACGTAGATATATTACGGTATTTTGTCCTTTGTAATTTTTATTTTTCTAAGAATTATACAGTTTATTATAGCTATCATGACGCGTTTTTCCTGATGATAGTATGTGTCTCTAAAAAGTGCATTTTCAGCTGGTGGTGGCCTTTAATCCCAGCAGTTGGTAGGTAGAGGCAGGAGGATCTCTGTTAGTTCAAGGACAGCCTGGTCTACAAAGCTACACAGAGAATCCCTGTCTACAAAAGCCAAAAAAAAAAAAAAAAAAAAAGCATTTTCCTGGGAGGCTGGAGAGATTGCTCGGAAGGAACCAGGTTAGGTTCCCAGCACCCTCACAGTGGCTGCAATTTAACTATTACTCCAGCTTCAAGGGATGCAGTAGCCTTTCCATGGGCATCAACACACATGTAGCATTCACTTACACAGCAATACATGTACAGGTGCACATATCAAAACTCATAAAAATACTTTTCTTTTTGAGACAGGGTTTCTCTGTGTATCACTGGCTGTCCTGGAACTCACTCTAGACCAGGCTGGCTCAAATTCAGAGATCCTCCTGCCTCTCTCTCCTTAGTGCTAGGATTAAAGGTATGCACCACTATGCCCAGCTCAGAAAATAAATATCTTAACAAAGTAACTTTTCCAGCCGGGCATTGATGGGGCATGCCTTTAATCCCGGCAGTGGGGGGGAGGGGAGGGGGAGGCAAGTGGATCTCTATGAGTTTGAGGCCAGCCTGGTCTATGAGTTCCAGGACAGGCTCCAAAGCAACACAGGAAACTGTCTCGAAAAAAAAAAAAAAAAAAAAAAAAAAAAAAAAGTAATTTTTCCCAGTAACTGTGTGACATTCTATTTTGTAGTGATAACTAAGAAATGGATCCTCAGATTGTCTTCTGGATCCTCAGATTGTCTTCTGTTCTGGTGTTTCATAGGAGCAGAAAAAAGCATCAGAAAAGAAGGCAGCGGTGGCTGCTGTGACAAAAGGACAGGATGAGAGCGCCCTGAAAACAAAGGAAATGGCTTCTCCTTCAGAACCCAACGAGCCAAGGAGGAAGCTGTCAGTTGGGGCCTTTGTGTCTTCTGCTCGAGTTGATTATGAGTCTTTTGAAGTTGGCACAGGACAGGTGAGTGTGTGCTGATGCGCTGTTTTAAGTTTTTTTTTTTTCTTCTCTTTTCTTTCTTAAGATTGTTTTTCTCTGGGTAGTCTTGGCTATCCTGCAACTTCCTCTGTAGACCCAACTGGCTCAGAGATCAGCTTGTCTCTCCTTCCTTAGTGCTGAAATTAAAGGTGTGTGCAACCAACCCCTGACTTTTGGTTGTTTTTGTTTGTTTGTTTTTCCAGACAGGGTTTCTTTTCGTAGCCCTAGCTGTAGTGGAACTCACTCTGTGGACCAGGCTGGCCTCAAAGTCAGAAATCTATGTGCTTCTGTCTCCCAAGTGATGGGATTAAAGGCATGTACCACCACTGCCCATTTAAGAAGCAGTTTTTAAAACATACTTGCTTTTCCTTTTATTCTTTTTTTTTGAGTGTGTTTTATTTATGTTTCTGATGACTTTATAGAGAAAATGGTAACATCACATTGTATTTATTGAGCACTTGAGAGGTTAGATTTTTTTTTCTTTTTTAAATCCTGTGTGTGTGTGTGTGTGTGTGTTTAGTCTGGAGAACAGCCTTGGCTATGATATCTGGAACAATGATTGCTTCCTTTGAGACAGGATCTCTCCTTGATCTGTTAATCCCTGGTTAGGCTAGACTGACTGGCCAGCAAGCTCCTGTCTCTGACTCCCAGCACTGGGATTTTCAAGCATGCACCACCACATCTGGCATCTTTTTTTGTGGGATTTAAGGATCAAGGTCAGGTTCTTGTATTTGCAGAGCAGATGTTTTTCCTATTAAGCCATTCCTAATCCTCACTTGTATTTCTTAATACATTTTTTTCTATCATAATGTACTTATTTTATATGATTTCTATTGAATTATATGTTTATCTACACAAACTCTTCAGCCCGTAATGTCTATAATCGCTGTACTTTGAAGCCTATGGCAGGAGGTTGTACACTCCAGGCCAGCCTAAAACTACATAGCAATTTAAGGTTAGCTTGAGCTATGCAGTGAGAACTTATCTCAAGAAGAAGAAGAAAGAAAAAAAAAAAAAAAAAAAAAAAAAAACCCTTCCAATATTAAGGCTGTTAGCCTCTCATCATGTAAGTTGTAAATGTTTGTTTTACACATTGAGTTTTCTTTTAATTTTGTTTTTTCTTTTGGTGGACCAAAACTTGAATTTTCTTTCTTTCTTTTTGAGGCTGGATTTCTCTGTGTAGTCCTGGCTGTCCTGGAACTCGTTCTGTAAATCAGGCTGGCCTCCATCTCACAGAGATCTGCCTGTCAATGTCTCCCAAGTGCTGGAGATTAAAGATGTGTGCCACCACTGCCCAGCTTAAAAGCATTGAATTTCCATAAATAAAGGCAAATGTAAGGGTAAGGAGTGTAGATTTTAGGTAGGCAGCCTAGGAGTATATTGTAGAAGGACCATTGGATTTGAAATTGAGCATCTAAATCTGCAATGTGTCACTACCTGCATTCTTGGTGTGGGATCACTCCTCTGGCTTTCAGTCTTCACCTGTGAAGTGAGTGTAATGGGTTTTCCTTCATCTGGTCTGTTAGCGGACCTCTGTTCTTCAATCATGCCGTTCGTTATTCTTTGTTCCAAGAATACTAACATGGCAGCCTGGTGTTAGTGGCACACGCCTTTAATCCCAGTACTCAGGAGGCAGAAGCAGGTGGATCTCTGTGAGTTCAAGATCAGCCTGGTCTACAAGAGCTAGGACAGGCTTCAAAGCCACAGAGAGACCCTGTCTTGAAAAACCAAAGAAACAAAATAAAACAAAAAAAGAATACTAACATGGCAAAGGCATTTTCCTGCTCCTAAAATAAAATAAAAGGGAAGAACTTTGTAAACACTGTATGTCTTTACACAGATGTCTGTTCTTCCCCTGAGAGACTTCATGCAAGCTATCCCAAGTAAGCTCCTTTGGACAAATCTAGACAGTCTCATGTAGCTTGGCTGATTTTTAAATCACTGTGTATCTAAGGATGACTCTGAGCTTTCTTATTCTCCCACCTCCAACTCTCCATGAGAAGATAGAATTATACTAGAATTAACATAGAGTACTGTAGACAAGGGTAGACTTATACTAGAATTAACATAGAATACTGTAGACAAGAACCCTTTATAGGGTTGGTAAATGCCTTCTGTTGCCTTACTTATTCTTCATTTTTCATTATATTGAATTTTGTATTGTGAAAACCCCCATGTTATAACTGAAGCAGAGGCAAACCCCTGAGAAACCCGACCAAGAGTAGCAGCAGGCCCAGGCAGGGTGACTATTGGTTCTGCAATTTAAACCACAGTTAATGTCATACTTCTGTGCTGTATTTAGTATTAGACATTAGCAGGGGATGCAGTAGACGACAAAGATTGTTGAGAAATTCTTTGTCAGCTCACAGCAGCTCTCTCTGAGCTAGTGAAGATCCAAAAAATATTTACAAGTTGGTTTTTATTGTTGTTTCTTCTAGGTTTCTGTCACTTACACCTCTTTAGACTTTGAACCAGAGATCTTCTTTGCCTTGGGCTCTCCAGTAGGCATGTTCCTCACTATCCGAGGTGTGGACAGGATTGATGAGAACTACCGTCTTCCTACCTGCAAAGGCTTCTTCAATATCTACCATCCGGTGAGGGTTTGAATTCACTCAGTGCTTTAAAAAGATAAAAGTTCTTTCCTTCTCATCCAAGTAGATTCTCAGGTTCTTGTTCCTTGGAAATTAATAGTGGTCATGAGTTGCAAAGCTCAGCTGTCAATCCTAAGAGACTGATGACACTTTCTAATAAGTATTTCTACCAGAAAGGCTTTACTCAAAGGGGGGAAAATGTGTTTGTTGCTTTGTTGGCAAAGTAATTTATCTACAAATTGGAAATGTCATAATTGCCAGTAGCTGAGTGAGGTGTGGAGGAAAGTCAGCCTCTGGCTTGCCAGTTAGCTCTTTGCTTCTCCCCTAACTGTGGCATGTAAGTCACACGATCATTCACTGGTTTCCACTTTTCCTTCTTGCAGCTTGACCCAGTGGCATACAGACTAGAACCTATGGTTGCTCCGGATTTGAACTTAAAAGCTGTTCTCATTCCACATCACAAAGGCAGAAAGCGACTTCACTTAGGTAAGAAGCAGATGCTCTGTCCACTTCCTGCACAGCAAGCATATGATTAGGAGCTCAGGATTGTGCTTGGTTACAAAATGAGTTATAAGCAGTCCAAGTCACATGAGACCCTGTCACACAAAACACAATAGATGTGTGATGTCTTTGTGTGAATGTGGGCATATGTGTGCCACTATGCACATGTGGAGATCAGGGTCCAGTTCTCTCTTCCATTGTGAGTTCCCATGGAGGTCAGAAAAGGGGATTGACCCCCTCTGAACTGGAGTGCTCTAATCTCCATCCCTCTTGTAATTACATTTTGATAGTGTGTCATTTTTGGAAAGGAGAAGACTAACATACATACATACATACATACATACATACATATATATGTATACACACACACACACACACACACACACACGTATCTACTCCCTCCCTGGGGAGTAGATGGGTGATGGGATGGGAGGTTCGGAGGTGGGCATGGGAGAATGGAAGGGAGAGGGAACTGGTATTGATATAAAAATGATTTATAATAATCTATATAAGCTAAAAATTAATTTTATTTTTAAATTATACTTGTGCATGCATATGCGTGCACCACAGTATGGGTGTGAAGGTCAGAGGAATCAATTCTTTCCTTCCCATGTGAGACTCTAGGGTCTCTCAGGTTGTGAGGCTTGCCAGCAAATGGCTTGCTTAGTCATTTTGCTAGGCTAGAGTCTTTAAAAATTATCTCACTATTACAAATTAGAACAACTGGCCTTTAAATTATTACAGGCTTTTTATTTTATTTATTTATTTTTTGAGACAGGGTCTTTCTGTACATGTTCCTGGCTGTCCAGGGCTGGCCTTGAACTCACAGAGATCCATCTTACCTGGCTTTGCCTTCTGAGTACTGGGGTTTAAAGATGTACTCCCTCATGCCCAGCTGTTACAGCCCTGTTTTAAAAATTTCCAATATAAATGTATAGGATTATGTTTATGTTATGGTGTTTGAACTTCTTCTTGAGAAAAAATTGGTGGGTTTGGGATGAGCCAAATTGTTAAGAAGAACTGGCTGGGGTGGCACATGCCTATATCCTAAGGTCAGGGGTCTCAGATGTGAGGCGCACCCTAAGCTTGACGCTCCAAGACACTGTGTCAAACAAACTGACAAAAAGCCAGACATGGAGGCTGAAGCAGATTTCTAGTTCAAGGCCAGCCCTTCATAGTGAGACCTTATTTCAAAATTAAATTAAAATAAAATAAAAATCAATGCAAGTCAGCATTTTACCCTATTGAGAGTTCTTGGTTCCAAGAGGCTCCCATGAAATTTTAAGTGGGGAGGAGGGCCCTTACTTGTCTGGGGACATGGTTAACTTTTAATTTCTGTGGCACAGAATTGCAGTGGCTAATTAACCTGGTGTGTCATTGGAATCTGTTTAGAGTTGAAAGAAAGCCTTTCTCGAATGGGGTCCGACTTGAAGCAGGGTTTTATCAGCTCTCTGAAAAGTGCTTGGCAGACACTCAATGAATTTGCACGTGCTCATACCTCTTCCACTCAGTTACAAGAAGAACTGGAAAAGGTGGTCAATCAGTTCAAAGAAGAAGAAGAAAAGCAAGTAGTTGAAGGTCAGTTTGATGTTGGATGTGTTTTCTCTGGCAGATGATGTTAAAGAACATAATGCTTGTAAATTGTTGGAGACAGTTTTCCTTTCTAGACCTCATCGGATTGGATAACTCCTGTCAAGGAGACGATGTCCTGATAGTCCATGTGATCCATCATTAACTGTTAACTGAGGTTTTGCCTGCGAGTTCTTGGGCTTTTTCTCTGCAAGTTTAAGATTTTATGGAGAGTCTTCAGGCCAGGGTGGAATATGAGTTGAGAGCTGTTTGTATCTAGGCTTGGGAAGGCTCCATGAGGTCCCTGCCCTTCTGCTCCCGCAGACCTGTATGTTTAGAGACTTCGTATGTGATGCCAGATCATCGTGCTCTGTGACTTTCAGATTTTAATTCTGTTTCTTTCTTTTTCTGCAATGCTTTCTCACTCCTTCACAACTTCTATTAGCCCTCTCTCCTGTCTCTTGGGGAACCAGTCCCTCTTCCCCTGTTCTCTGGAGGAGGTGGGTGAGCCTGGCAGCTCCTCAGTTGCTCTGAGTATTAAGTGATATTCATTGAACCCAGAGTCAGCTAAAGTCAGAGAGTAATGATTGAGTGACTGACTTTGATATTGAAATGGTTTAAATTCTAGCAGAAAAGATTGAAAGTCCAGAACTTTCCAAGGATGAGGACTACTTAGGAAAGGTTGGAATGTTAAATGGAGGCCGCCGGATTGACTATGTTCTTCAAGAAAAGCCAATAGAGAGTTTTAATGAGTATCTCTTCGCTCTTCAGAGTCACTTATGCTATTGGTAAGTATTTTTCACTATGATTCTCTTTGAATGGCTTCAACTAGTACATTTCACTGTAGGTGGGGGTCTTTTACTAATTACCCAGTTATGATTGACTTAATAGATTCACCCATTGAACTCACACATTCTGTTGGGTTTTTGTTGTTGCTTTTGCTTGGTGGTTTAAATCCAGATGGTGATAATGAGGAGAGAGACTTGGGCAGCAGTTTACATTTCTGACTTGTTAACCACCTTTCTAAGGCTGCATAGAATTTAGTCGTCCACAAGGTGGCAGTGTGTCAGTGTGTTATCTGCCCTTGACCAGAGACCATTCATTGGTATTTGCGCAGTGTTTTTTATAGGGGGACATTTAATGACAAGAGTTTAAGGCCTTTAAAAGCATTCTTCCATATGTCTCCATCACTGAGGGGATTCCCAGCATTCCTCTTTTGGAGCTGGTTGGAGTTCATGCAGTCTTTAAAGACTGCTCTGTGCTCAAGCTTTGTAGTCTGTCATCTGCCCATTCAGAGCCAAATAGAATAGCATATGGGGCATTTACCTTCTTTGTGTAAATGGTAATGTTTACTAATTATTTCTTAAATATTTATTTATTTTTGTTTCTGCTAGGGAATCTGAAGATACTGCCCTCTTGTTCCTTAAAGAAATCTATCGAACAATGGACATTAGTCCAGAGCAGCCCCAGCATTGAGCAGACTTGCATTTTACTAGGTGAGTTATTCCTTATTAAATGTGTAAGTGCTGACGCTTGTGTTGCTGGAATTTTGGGGTCCCTTTGTGATAGATGATAGAGGGAAATCAGGTCCTCTCGGAATTCTTAGTCTCATTGATAAGAGAATTTAGGAATGGACTTAAATGGAAGCTCAAGGACAATTTTACTAGTGTTGGAAAGGAAAACCAGGACATGCCAGCTGTAAGAGGAGAATGGAGGAGAGAATGAAAAAAGAAAAGAAGAAAAGGCTGTTTAAGCTGGCACAGTGGTGACTTGGGTTCTGGCCACAGGAGACAGCTGATGAGATGATTGGATTTGGGTCTGTTACGGAGGAAGAGTTGCTCCCAAGTCACTGTGGATATAGAGGAACATAGAGTTAAGGATGACTGTTGTGGGCTTTGATAGAAACTGCTGGGTACATGATGGTGCTTTCTACTGGCAGGGCCCATTGAGGGAGCAGGTGTTTTGGTGGAGCAGGTAATCATTTGTTTTGTTTAATCAGTAGTTGATAATGTTGGTTTGAAGGTCAAAAGAAATCTCAGAGCTAAAGATGACTTTAGAGGCATCAGCATGTATTTGCCATCCAAAGGCTCAGTTAGTTGGGGTCACCTTGAAGGAGTGTGGGGGAAGAGGAGAAAGACTCCAGGACCTGAGCCCAAGCCAGGAGGGTTGCTGCAGGCAGTGGTCACAGGACAAGCAAGAAGTGGCCTTTGGCTTTCAGGCAGGCACAGACCATTACTGGGACCTGAATCAGAGTTGCTTTAATGTCAGGCCAGAAGTCAAAGGTGAGGTGAGGAGGAGGAGCTTTGTCATGAAAGGTGGTAAGTAAGGCAGCAAGGATTGGGTGGGATTGGGAAGGCGCTAGCTTGCCAGTAGGGATGTTCCAGAATTGAGAAGAATGAGCATTTTGGATTAAGGGGATACTGGGGAGTGGGCATTTGGAAAGGCTGTGAGCATGCAGCCAAGTGTGGTTAAGAGCTGAATTGCAGGAAAGGAGCGAGGCAGTGATGTGGGTGCAGGTATGGGCTGGAGAGGAAGGGAGGTGCTCTCTGACAGGGCCTGCCTTCTGTGAAGTGTGGGAAGGTCATCAGCTGAGAGTGAGGCAAGGAGCCTGCTGGGAGAGTTGAAGAGAGAAGAGCAGATGGATACCTCAGTGTGGGAGGAAGGAACTCTCCAGCCCAGTGTGATTGATTGGATTATATTGCAGGTTAGAATGCCGGCTGGTATTTTGATCATAAATTTGAAGTTAATTACTTTGTTTCAGTAGCCTGGGTCTCTGGCTATGTTCTGGTACCTGGGCAAGGGTTAGAGTCGGCAGCAAACACTTGTGTTTATCAGGGATAGGCAAGATAGGATGAGGGTGGAGACTAACTGTAGTGGGAGCACTGGAGACATTGCCCACATTTGGAGGATGGGAGTCTTTGGGCAGAGAATGGTGTGTGTGGAGTAGTGATTGCCGAGGCTCTGGTTTGCCCTGTGACAGGATCCACCGGACCTGTCATACTTTGTTCAACAAACACCTGATGTACTTGGAAGCAATTTTTTTCAAACCTTTATGTGTGTATTTGTATGCTTGAGAGAGAGAGAGAGAGAGAGAGAGAGAGAGAGAGAGAGAGAGGAGAGGAGAGAGAGAGGAGAGAGAGAGAGAGAACCATGTTCATGCAGGAGCCAGTTGAGGTCTGAAGAGGGCATCAGATCCCCTGGAGCTGGAATTACAGGTGACTGCCAGCTGCCTAATATAGGTACTGGGAATGGAGCTGCTAGTTTTCTGCAAGAGCAGCAAGTATTTTTACAGGCTGAGCTCTTTCTTCAGCCCCAGCTTTTCTCTTAAGTTTATATATTTCATGTTGTTTGCTATCTTGTAGCTTGCTTTTTTCTGTATCAGATACTATATTATTTATGTAGACACATTTGTGGTACCAGAGATTGGACATAGTGCCTTGCACATGTGCACCACTGAGCTGCATGTTCAGCCCTGTTTACAATTTTTGTTTGTCTTTAAAGTTTTTAAATTAACATTTATTTATATTTGGGTGTGTGCCTGCTGGAGTAAATACTGTCTTTGCAGCATGGGGTCCTGGAACTCAAACTCAGGTTGTAAGGTTGTGTCATAAGCACCTTTATCCACGCTAAGCCATTCCACTGACCCTTTTTGGACGGATTTATTGAATTCCATTTAAGCTTTATTATTCATTAATTTTCCCTCCATTGTTGAATGTTAGGTAACCCCCCATTTCACTATTATACATAATTTTGACATGTAGCTTTATATATAGCCTTTTGCCTGTCTGTGACTTGAGATTAAACCCGTGAGTGGCACTGTTAGATCTAGAATATTACGTATCTGTTCTTACTGTTCAGTTGTATCCTAGAGAAGCCCCTCAGTTTTCATAGCTACTATTAATATATAATTGCCAGTTCTTCTTCCGCCTTGCCAACACTAATTGTTGGTACTTTTGAATTCTGGCCAGTTGGGCACCAGAAACTGATCAGTCATCATTTTGGTTGTTTTCCCATTACTATGAACTTGAGTTGCTTTGACGTATTTAACCTCCTAGGTTAGATTGGGGGTATGTTTTAAAATTAATGACTACTTAGATACTTACTTTTGCTTGCTTTTAGTTCTTCATTTAATTCTAGAAACGTGTGGTCTGAGAGGGACTTAACTTGTTCCCTGTGCTGTATTTGAATGTTATGGCCCTCTTTGCTTGATGCCTTTATCATTTGTCTAGTATCTGTTCTCTGGGCGTTCTGGTCAATTTATTTGTCATACTTTATTCATTCATACTTTAGCAATTAAAATTTTTTTTTTTTTTTTTTTTTTTTTTTTTTTTTTTAAAGACAGGGTTTCTCTATGTAGCCTTGGCTGTCCTGGAATTCACTCTGTAGACCAGGTTGGCCTTGAACTCACAGAGATCCACTGCCACCACCTCACCTTCCTAGGTGCTGGGGCTGAGGGTGTGCATCATCACCAACTGGCTTGTTTTTTGTTTGTTTATAGCCTAGGCTGGCCTTGAACTCACAGAGATTCACCTGCCTCTGCCCAGTGCTGGGATTAAATGTGTGTGCCACCATGCCTAGCTTTGTTGTACTGCTTGACTTCACTGAAGGGGTCTTTGGCACAAAGCCCACAAGCTCCCCATTTCTGCCTCAGCCTTTTGGAAGGTATGTCTAAGAACATGTGCTTGAAGCTGAGCTCAGAGTTGCTTGCAGTGTTGGTTAATAAAGTTGAGCATGTGGCTGACTTCATGAAAGAAGGAACAGTTCTTATTGAGAGTCTGTGAAGTTCACTGAGGATTTTTTTTAAGACTCTCTTGTCTTTACAGGAAGTTCCAGCATGAGTGCCGTTGCAGAGAGGCTCTGTGGAGGCCAGTCCCCCTTTGCTCCTATGATGGATGACAGAAAAGTGACCCAGCAGCAGTTGCTAACATAAGCTTCTTGGATGTAGGAATTCATTTGAAAAGGCACAGGACAGAAAGACACACACACACACACACACACACACAACACACACACACACACACACACACACACGTGCGAAAAAAAAAAATCAGTACCACATTTGGACAGTATAGAAGAAAAACTGCAATTATAAAATGATGCTGTGGAAATTCTCAGATCTGTTTAGTTGTGTAGTTATCAAAATTAAGTATGTCCTAATGAACAGAGATTTGTAGCATGCAAACAGTTACTTCAATTTCTTGAAACTATCGTCAATGGGCTGTTAAACTTATATATTTCTTTGTATTAATGCAATATGTTATTTTTATTTAAATATGGACTTCTTGAGGAACTATAGTAACATGATTTTTAAGAAACTTATGCTAGGCTGGGCCTGGTGGCACATGCCTTTAATCCCAGCACTTCAAAGGCAAGGCAGGTGGATCTCTGTGGTCGACATAGCCGGTTCCAGGACAGCCAGGACTACGTAGAGAGACCTTTCATAACAGAAAAGAAAAAGAAAAGGAATTTATGCTGTGCTTTAATGTGACTTGCTCTGAGCTTCCCTGATGCCGTTTTTCCTCCTTGTCACAAGGCAGTAGCCAAGGTCTCCTCTGCCCAAGCTGACCTGAGAGTATATGAAGCCAAGCGCCACTACTGAGAGCCTAGTTGCAGGCATGAAGCACTTGTGATGATCTGATCTCTCCTGGCTTGTCCACATTGCCTGGGAGATGAGCAAGTGACAAGCTTTCATTGTGACTGAGGTATCTGTGCCAGCACTCATGGCTGAGGTTCCAGTTAACTGAGAACCAGAGTGGAAGGTTTTATTCTTTGGTTTAATTTTACTTGTACCAAAGGGTTTGAAAAAGGGTGGATTTACTTCTCCTGGGATGTAGAGCTGCTTGGTGAAGACTATTCTGTAATATCAGTTTGTTTACTATGAACTCCTTACCTAAATATTTCCTAACAAACACTGGGAATGCTGATTTCCTTCTTTTGTTACATAGCGGAAGCATTTTATGTCATTTACATAGTTCTCATGGAACATGAAAGTTTTTTGAAAACAACATATAATACACATTTTTGTGTATGTATTCTAATTGGTGTGAATAAAACAGTAACATTGATGCTCTTTTCAAGCAGCAGATTGTTGTTTCTCACCCTTTTTAACGTGTCCCCTTGTCAACCTGCAGCCTTTGTGTGGTTAACTTATAACGTGATGGGATTAGAACAGGAAGGTTTAGAGCAGTGGTTCTCAACCCCTTTGGGGTCCAATGACCCTTTCACAGGGATCACATATCAGATAATCACATCAGATATTTATGTTACAATTCATAACAGCAGCAAAATTACAGTTATGAAGTAGCAATGAAAATAATTTTCTGGTTGGGGGTCACCACAGCATGAGGAACTGTATGACAGGGTGGCTGCATTAGGAAGGTTGAGAGCCACCGTTCTAGAGCTTCCTTTGACCCCAGGGTTCCAATCACTTCATCATCTATCTGAGGACACTATTCCCGCTAGGGAGGCACATAGCCAAGGTGGTTCTCTTGATTCCCTTTACCCTTCGCTTCCCTTCACCAGGATAATTACTGCTCACTTAGTTTCTATATGACTTCTAATACTGTCAGAGGAAGGGAAAATAGAGGTTCCTTGTGTGTATTTTAATAAAATATTTAGCTTTTTCAACTTGTAATGAGTTTGAGTTGTATCATTCTGTTTGTGTCTTATGAGTCTTGGGAAGAGAAGGGGCATTTGTAGCAAGAAGTTCATGCCAGGTGAGTGCCCCTTGTTGCCACTTCTTTTTAATGATTGGGGAGCACAAAATACAGTATTTCAGTGATCTTCCCTATAGTCTGTTTTCTGTCACTATTAACCCAGGCTGGGCTTGAACTCAGTGTGTATTTGAGCATGACCTTGAACATCTGATTCCCTTGCCTCACCCAAATGCTAGGGTTATAGTTGTTTTTCCATACCTGGTTTTACAGTGCTGGCCATCAAACCCTGGGCCTGATGATATTGCACAAGCACCAAACCATCTTAGCCAAATCCCACCCCATCACTGCATCCTGAGTCTTGGTATGAGTCTCTGGTTTACTTTGAGCCTCAGGCTCTTGCCATTGAATAAAGTGCCTATCAAACACTTGCTGATTAGGGGAATTTAAAGGTCAAAACTGTAAAGTCTCAAAGAATTCTTGACAGAACAATTGCCAATGTCGGAAAGACACTTAAGGAAGTGCTCAACATCCTTAGTCATCAGGGAAATGCTAATCAAAACAACTCTGAGATTCCATCTTACACCAATCAGAATGGCTAAGTTCAAAATCACTGATGGCAGCTTATATGCTGGAGAGGATATGGAGTAAGGGGAACACTCCTCCATTGCTCATGGGAGTGTAAACTTGTATAGTCACTGTGGGAATCAGTAAGGAGATTTCTCAGAAAATTAGGAATCATTGTACCTCAAGACCCTGCAATACCACTTTTGGTCATATATCCAAAGGAGTTACACTCATACCACAAGGACATTTGTTCATCTATGTTCATAGCATTATTTGTAATAGCTAGAACTTGGAAACAACCCAGATGTCCCTCAACCAGAGAGTGAATTTAAAAAAAAATGTGGTTATATTTGCACACTGATGTACTACATCATGAAATTTGCAGGCAAATGGAGGGAACTAGAAAAAACCATTCTGAGTGAGATAACCCAGACCCAGAAAGACAAATATAGTATGTACTCATAAGTGTATACCAGACATAAAGCAAGGGTAATCAGCCTACAGTCCAGAACCCCAGAGAAGCTAGAACTTTCTTCCAGAAGCAAATGGAAGCAGATGCAGAAATTCAAGCTCCTAGAGTACAATCAAAGTGAGGGAGGAGTGATAATATGAACAAAGGAGTCAAGACCTTGATGGGGAAACCCACAGAATCAGCTGACCCGAGCTAGTGAGAGATCACTGACTCAGATCTCACAACTGAGGAACCTGCATAAGACTGAACTAGACTCCCTGAATACAGGTGACAATGGTGAGGCTGGGGTAATATATGAGGTCACTGGCAGAGGCTCCAAAATCTAACTCTAATGCGCAAACTGATTTTGTAGAGCCTATATAGAGAGATACCTTGCTCAGCCTAGTGGGGAGGTGCCTTGGTCCTGCCTCAACAAGATGATGGGACAGACTCAGTGGACTTCCTCTGTGAGGAGCAGATGGGAGAAAAGTGGGGGGAGCAGGAGGAGAGGAGGGAGGGAGAACTGGGATTGGAATGTAAAAAAAAAAAAAAATAAAAAAAAAATAAAAAAGGCACGTTTGAGGTAAGTGCTTCCTTAAAGGTAGGATCTATATAAAGCCTTGAAAAGAGGACATTACACGGCAGGTTCCTCTGTCCTGGCACAGATGGTTGTCTGACTGTGTGGGACATGGTGGAGATCAGGACTGTGGTCTGACTAGGCAGATTTTTCTGTCTCTCCTGCCAGCTCCCAGATCATGACATGGAGACTTATTAAATATGAAGGCTTGACTGATAGTTTAGGCTTATTTCTAACTAGCTCTTATAACTTAAATTAATTCATTTCTATTAACCTACATTCTACCATGTTGCTTTTACCCCTACCCCATTTTGTGTGTTCAACTCCTTCCCTGTCTGGCTTCTTCAAAGTCTCAGGGGGATGACTCCCGGAGACTCCTCCCTTCTCCTCCTCCCTCCCCGTCCCCCTCTCTGTGTCTGGCTGTCCCACTTATATCTCCTGCCTAGCTACCAGCCAGTCAGCTCTTTTAAACCAATCAGAAGGTGCCCGGGCAAAGACACCTCTTCACAGCTTACAGAAACATTATTCTATAACATCTGACTGTGTGGGACATGCTGAGATCAGGACTGTGGTCTGACTGTGCGGGGCATCCTGGAGGTCAGGACTGTCCTAAAAAGCCAGCATGACTGCCCTGTGTGTTTGTATGGCCATTGTTAATGGCCCCTGACTTGAGTCATACAGCTGCTGTCCTGTTTTCCTCTAGTGCCCACCAGGCACTTTTAAGCTGGATTCTGCTTTCCTAGTACATTTTACCAGCTGAGAGAAGGGTGAATGACTTATTCGCTGGTGCTGCTCTGGCCAGATTCCTGTAGTTAAGTGGCAACAGAGAGAGGCTTACAGTGCCTGCCGGAGCCTCTGAGGAGGGATGAGCATGTGGGGTGAAGGGAAGGTAAAGTGAGTGGAACTGGGTGGGGTGGTACTTACATGCCCACATGGATGCAGGTCAGAAGGACTCTTACAAAACACTTTTGAATCATTTAGTCAGTGTGCCCTAATGCTTTGAGTCATTTTGGAGTAAGGATGAGGAGGGGATTTTATTTTCTCTCCTAAAATTGTGTCCTCTTTTCCCTATTTCCTGGGTAAAATCTCTTGTAGCCTCCCCCTAAACATGGACTTCACACAGCATTTTGAAATAACTTCATGTTGGGGACCTTATGATACTTGATTCTTCATGTCTGTATTCAAGCCAAGAGTATATGTTCAATACTACAGTGACGTCACAGGACCACATCAAACAGACCAGTGTCTATTAGGGACACATGCCCTGGGGTGATGGGCATATGCACTTAGTGGTAAGCTGCCACTCAGGTTCATGGATGGAATCACTACCATGTTTTTCTCCCATTTCTTGGATTCGAATATCTTGATGTTAAAAGACTGTAATAGCATTTGTACACACACTCAAAAGTCAAAAGCATGGGGTGGTATAATGAATCCACATGTGCTTCCCTGTTTAGTGGTACTCAAGTTTTTAAAAGGGAAGGCGAGTGTGTTCCAGAGCTGTGCAAGACGGGAGTGAGGTAGGTGGAAGCAGCAGGGTCTGAAGAGATTAGGTGTGTGGAACGTAAGAAGTGACTGGTCTCCCCAGCCCTGAGAACCCCAGCCCTGAGAACTGTGACCCCTGGGGCCACATTCCATCTTGTTGGAGGCACACAGCCTGAACTCTGGAAGAAGCTTGTTGCTTACTTCTCAGAGCCTTCCAAACCTGTGTCCAGCCATTTCCCTGGAACCTCTGTCTTTTCTTCCAGAGTAGACCGACTAGTCAGAAGTTGGAAGCTGCTGTATTCTGCAGAGAACTTACCGTGCTTGGCTAGTGTCTGGTGAATGAGGCTGCTGCTGTTCTGTGGGCGTTGCTCCCTGGAGTAGAGACCGGGAGAGACTCTTGTTTTGGGGTACTTGTGTTTCAGACACTGCCAGCTCAAGTCCTTTATAACATTTACAGAAGTCCTGATGGGTCAGGCAGCATCTTCTAGAGGAGGTATAGAGACTGGGCTGGCTGTATTTGTGTCAGCCTGACACAGACTGTAGTCATCTGAGAGGAGGGAACCTTAATTAAGAAAGTGGCTCCATAAGATCAGGCTGCAGGCCAGCCTGTAGAGTATTTTCCTAGATAGTGATTGGTGGAGGAGGGTCCAACCCATTGTGGGTGGTGCCATCCCTGGGTTCTATGAAAAAGCAGGTTGAACAAGCCATGTATAGTAAGCCAGTAAGCTTTACGCTTCCATGGTCTCTGCATCAGCTCCTGCCTCCAGGTTCCTGACCTGCTTGAGTTTCTGGCCTGACCTCCCTCAGCAATGTACTGTGCCGTGAAACTGTAGGCTGAAACAAACCCTTTCCTCCACAACCTGCCTTTAACAAAGACAGAGGCCCACAGGAGCTGGCTGTTATGGCCAGGGCCACTCTTGTGATTATATGTAGAAGTGTGTGTGCCATACCTTAAAAATCAGAATAAAGGGATACTCTGCTGCAAACATGTCTTTCAAGTACTTGTAAATTGCCTGCTTCAGTTTTTGTAAGTGCCTAGGCAGCCAGAGCCCATTTCTTTATTCATAAGCAAAAACATCTTCAAAGGATAACGTTAGAATAGAAGGTTAGGAGATTTGAATTAAAATTTGTCTTTGCCTGAATGCTTTTTTTTTCCCTTATGGAGATTAAAAGCTTGGTGTTAATGAAGATCCTCCAATAGTGTTCTGAACAGAATGCAACTATTTCTACAAATACTCTTTGAACTGAAGAGGAGGAATAAATACAAGTTTTTTTTTTGTCCTTAGGGTATAGGAAATATCCACAATAACCAGGATATACAGTCAGCCTGAG